AGCAACTACAAACACAGAAAGGTGCATTTTTCAACTTATTTTATTTTGAATATTGCATTGTATCAGAGGGATGGGAAGGAAGAAAGATACAGAAAGTCGTGAGCAAGATGAAATGCTGAAATATTCTTTGGTACAGTAAGGAGAAAGCAAGGGTTCTCCAAGATCAGTGACCAGCATGAACGATTATCATACCAACATGTGTTGTGTTTAAGAGAAGAATTCAGAGATGGTCTAAGCAGGGCTTCTTAAACTTTAATATGCACTTGTGTCCTCTGAGGGTCTGATTAACATGTGGATTCTGATTCAGTATGTTTGGGTAAGACCTGACATTTTGCATTTCCAACAGGCTCCCAGCAATGCCGATGCTGCTACTCTTCTGACCACACTCAGAGTAGCAAGGTTCTGGAGCAGAGCTTTCAACTGCATTTCCACATTAGAAATGCTTGGGGAGCTTTTAATAACCTTGATGCCCAAGCCAGTGGTCCTGGGCCCAGCAGTGCCAGCATCACCTGGGAATTTGTTAGAAATATGAGTTCTTATGCTCCACCTAGAGCTGTTGAATCAGAATCCTGGGAGTGGGCTTCAGTAATCTCATCATCTGGGTGACTCTGATGCATGCTAAGTTTGAGAACCACTGCCTTAGAGATTTTGATTAAATTGGTCTAGGTAAGACATCCTCATCCATAAATTTTATTAACACCCCAGGCACCTGGGAGGTTCAAGAAAATCCACTCCTCCCCCAAAAAATGACTCTTCCAATACACTTGTGCTAAAGGTTCAAGAAGAATGAATGCAATTTACTTTGGTAGATGATGTTCCTTTGTGGGTAATATCTTTTCCAAGTAAGTAAATGATTAATTCTCAGTTCTTATTTTATTTGATTAATCGGTAGCACTGGACACTATTGATCACCCATTTTTCCTTGATACATATTTTCCCTTGGCTTCCAGGATACCACACTGTTTTTGTTTTCATTTTACATCACTGGTTTCTTCTTCACAGTCTTCTTTACTGATTCTTCTTCAACTCACCCCTACCACACCTCTTAACCTTCAAGTGCCTCACAGAGAAGTCTTTGATTCTCCCCTTCAAACAGACTCATTAACTGAGTGATCTCTTCCCATCCATGGTCTGTGTGCTAATCTCTCCCAATTTTTTTTTTTTAACCAAAGCTCTCTTCCAAAGTCCTGTACTGATTGTCCAACTTCCATCTTGGCATTTCCACTTGAGTATGTAAAATCACGAACTCACTATCCAAAGATGAATTCCTAATCTTCCGTCTCAAATTTACTTCAATCACAGCCAGCTGAGGTGAAGGCAATTCTGTCTTCCAATAGCTCAGACCAAAAGCACAGGAATAATCTCTGATTACTCTTTTTCTCATTCCTTATATCCAATCCATCAGGAAATCCTACTCATTTTACCTTCAAAATATACCTACAATCTGATCACTTCTTACCACAACCCTGGTCTAAGCCACCATCATCTTTTGCCTGGATCACTGCAATAGCCTCTACCAGGTCTCCTGACTTCGACTCTTGTGTTCCTGCAGCCTATTCGCAACACAGCAGCCACATGATCATTTTTAAACATAACCAGATCAGGTCACTCCTCTGTCCAGAATGCTGCATTGGTTCTCAGTTTTGCTTGGAGTGAAAGCTAAAGTCCAAAGTGTGACCCTCAACCCCTTGCCTGATCTGGCTCCCTGTTAGGATTCCCATCTCCTTACCTACCATTGTACGCTCCTCTTTGCTCTCTCTATTCTAGGCACACTGACTTAGTTGCTGCTCCTTGAACACAGAAGACGTGCTTCCACCATTTGCACCCCCTACTTTTTTGTCTAGCTGCTCCCACTGCCTGGAATATTCTTCCTTCAGATATCTATGTAGGTAACTCCCTCACCTCCTTCAAGCTTTTGCTCAAATCTCACTGCCTCGGTGAAGTTGACCCTAAATCTCCCACTTAGTATTTCAGTCTTTCCCCTGTTCCCATCTCCTGGGCATTCTAGAACCTCCTATCCATCTCTACAGTCTGTATTTTCCATAACACTTATCACTTTCTAATTTCCTATCTTTTGCTTATCTATTATGTTGATTTTATGTCTGTGTATATTGTTTGATTATATTACATGTAGTGTTTTTCTCCCGCATTAGAATGTAAGCTCCACAGGGCAGCATTTTTATTATTTGCATTCATTGACAGAGCCCAATCATCCAGAAGAGTTTGGGGGCACATATAGGCACTCAAGACTGGTGGTCTGAACTAAGGCAGTGTGGCAGTAGTAGACAAAAGCAAGTAGATCAATGAATCATTCAGTAGGTCGATCAACAATGGTCAATTATCAAGTGTAATTAATACAATATGAGAGATGAGAAAGGGAAGGAGTTAAGGTTGATACTTAGATAATTGTTAGGTGATGACATCGTCACACAATAGGATAGGGATCTCAGTAACAGAAGCTGGTTTGGGGGTAGAAGATGGATCCTATTGAGCTGCCTGTGGGAATTCAGTTAAAGAAGTACAGTAGGCAGTGGGATATATGGGGCTGAAATGTAGATAAAGAGGCATATATTTGAGAATCATAAAAATACAGATGGTAATTTAAATCACAGGATTTTTAGTATGTATAGTGAGAAGACAAGAGAGCTTGCTAGAATTGTGAAGAAAAATACTATTTAATGTTTGGGAAAAGAAAATGGAGCCAAAAAAGATTAATAAATATCCAGAAAGTGAGAAGGAAAATGCGTGCATTATGAGAGAAAAATAAAATCTTTACGTGATGATGGAAGAAAAACCAATAAAGGGAAAGAGGCTGAGACTAAAGAAAAGAGAACTAAGACAAAGCTGATGAAATGAAGAAGAGGCCAAAGACGGTAAGCTTTCTAGAAGACAGGAAAAGTGTTAAGTATTTCAGTTACTAGTTAAATGTAGAAGTAATTTATTTCAAAATGCAAAAAATGTGTAAATACTATATAAGAACATGATAGACGGAATGAATTATCCCCATTGTCCAAGTGCTTTAGTGTGGAGGGGGAAGAGGGGCGAGTGCCATAGATGCTTTGATAACACAAGCCTCACCCAAACCAAAGCTATGCATCCTCCATGAAATAGTCCATGGTGGTCTAGTTTACTAAAGACCTTTTCTTAAACACATACACACAAACACACACACACACAGCAATCACACCAAGCTTGACATTTCCCATTCAATATTCCTAAACTGGAATGTCCCTTTATGCCCCATTTTCTATTAAAATTTGGACCATGGAAATGACTGTGGCTTTCTGTCCAAAATAAACTGGAGACAGCTGTCGATGAAAAGGGCATGCGAAGGAGCTGTATTGTTCGTCTACGGTCTTTCATTCCTTAGAAAATATTTTAATCTCAGTTCCCTCTTACCTCCCACACTCATTGTGACACCAAGAAATTCTGCAAATGCAAACATTAAGTCACAGACTTTCTCTGTGCCTTGAGGTACAGCAAGTAGCCGACTTCGCTATGCCCTCTTGCCTGCTTATAATTTGAGAAACAATTTCATTACGTGAGCAGGCTATTGAATACATGCCAAATACAATGAGGACTGAGAATTGATTATTCACTTAGGTGAAAAAAAAAAAGCCATTTCCCACAAGGAGACATTATTTACCACAAAGTAAATTCCCTCCAGGGCCTGCCCTGTGGTGCAAGCGGTTAAGTGCACGCGCTCCGCCCGATGAACCGGTTTGGATCCGGGTGCGCACTGACACACCGCTTGTCAAGCCATGCTGTGGTGGCATCCCATATAAAGAAGTGGAGGAAGATGGGCACGGAGGTTAGCCCAGGGCCAGTCTTCCTCAGCAAAAAAAGAGGAGGATTGGCAGATGTTAGCACAGGGCTGATCTTCCTCACAAAAAAAAAGTAAATTCCCTCCATTTTTCTTGAAACTTTAGCACAAAATGAACTAGAAGAGTCACGTTTTCCTTGAGCAGAATCCTTGAATATCTAGAGATCCTGGGGTGTTTTTTAAAAATATGAGTATTGATGTCTTATCTACATATGATGTGCCATGTTTTGTTAAAATAAGAGAACTGAGAAGGTATAAAGGAATTGTTAACACAGTGAAATAAACTTTTGTAGCACCAGACATGGACTGACACCAGCAGTTTATCTATGATAAATCAATTAAGAAACATTTATTAGGGGTCCAGTTGTAGTTTAGGCACTATTAGCAGTATACATCAGGCAGGGAGACTACAAGAAAAAATAAGTCTAATCATCTTCTGTTAAAACACTATATTTTTAATTTGTTGAACACTAGTAGAGTCTAGGACACTCTGTTTCCAAATTTTTAACTCCACAACTGGAGTTAGCTTTAGCTATAGCTTTTTCTTGTCTGTAGCGGTGTCTCAGCAGAGTCAGAAGCCTGTATTACAGTCAGTAGAGAAATTGTCTTCATTTCCATCCTTATTTTTTCCAGTTTCTTCCTGCCTCCATCTTTTCAATATTAATTCATTGCTATAACAGTAGTGTTACGTTAAGCAAAGGGTAACATTGATTATTGCTTTTCAGTAATAAGTGATAAGCTCAGAACAATAAAATAATTTTTAAAAAGATAAAATGTCTTTGATTATCTTCTCTATCATGTACATGACCTCTATAAATCCATCAGTTAATTTGTGACTTTCTAAGTACTTTTTCCCCCTATTCTTTGATGATCTTTCTCTGAGAAGAGTCCATGTGTTTCGTGTTTGTGTGTTTCTTTTACTATCTTGAGCTCATATGGAGTCCCTTTGAACTTTGTCTCTTTCCCTCCCCTTCCACTGACCATGCTTTTCTCTCTCTCTTTGTCTGGATGTTGGAAGATTCCATATTCTGTACACCATACTATCTAAAAACTTGAATTCAGAATTGACAACAATAAAGCAAATTATTAGAGTTGCTATCAAAGAAAGCCATGAGTTTTCTGGGATAAAAATTATGAATAATGTACTGAAAGAAAAGAAAATCATAGTGTAAGATGCAAAATCATAGTATTTAATGGAGTAATAGAGAAATAAAATCTGATAAGAAGTCATAGCATATTGCAGACTATTCAGGATGTGAGGTGGTTCATGATTTTCTTCCAGGTTTGATACAGAAGAGTGAGTTTGTTCAAAGTAAATAGCATTCCACCTGGAATTTAAAAACATAGTTTACACGATAAATAAATGTGTATAAGTATATAAAGTAAATATATAGATATAGGTAAACAAACATACATATACATGTACATACACAAATACATACACATACACATATAACACATATATGAATGTGTATAAACATATGTATCTACATATTTAATGACCTATCAATTTATAAAACAAAGATGAGAGATTTTTTTAATGAGACACTTATAAAAGCCACATATAAGCTATAAATTTTTTAAAGCTATTTTAAAGAAATTGATAAAATCTTAATGACTATCAGACCACTCATCTCGTGCACATAGCTATTTAAACCTTGTGAAGTCCCAGAGACCTCTTTGCTGCGTCCCTTGTTTTATCTTCTTTAAGTTTTCATTTTCTTATCAGATGTCTTTTCAATGGTTTCAGTGTTTTCAATGTATGTAATTTCCTTACCTTGTCCTGTGCGTTGTTTTGTCTCACTAGGAAACTGAAACATTGTTGATATTGTAAGAAACAAAAGCATATTCATCTAGAAAATAAGGGAAAAGTTCATCTTTATTAAATCTCCAACTTTCTATAACAAGATTATGTCAGACGATATAGATACATAGGTTGAATCTTTCTAATAATTTTGCAAGAGAGTCAATCACTTTTCCATTTTCTAAATCCAGAAATATCCTATTAAAGTTTAAGGCACTTGATGACATACATTCAATTAGTAGATGACAGAATCAGAATTCAAACACGTCTTGACAACTTTGTATGACATTCAACAAGAAACTAATAGCACCAACCTTCCAGGGAAAATTTTTAGGGTCTTTACGTCTTAGTAGTTCTTTTGGAACCTAATCTATCAAGATTTTCCTATAACATTTCAGAATATTGCCCACTCCCCATCTCAAATCAAAGTCCTTAGAGGTAGCATGAAATGGTAAGTCTTGGCATTAACAATAATAATAAAATAACCTGAAGCTTAGCATAGTTTGTATTGCAAGTTAAAGGGGAGCTCTTTCACATTATAGCCCAAGGATTCTGTGTCGAAAAAGTCTGGTAACTGGAAAATGGCCCAGTCAGAAGACATACCATGGAGTAAAAAAAACATCAATATATAAAGTAAAATGAGTCATTGTTTAGTCTTTGAAGGATGATTTTGGAAAATTTAGTAGCTCAGGGAATCTTAGATATAATAGCATGTTCAGTAGCTTTAGGACATGGTTGCTGCTTGCCTACCTTTTTCATAATAATCGTAGACTATGACTAGGGCTGGCTGAATGTTGGACACACGGTTGGTTTGCTCAACAGAGAAAGTGAAACTCTTTGCTGTACCAGAAACCTATAAAGACACAAATTATAAATATATCAGAGCAGGTCTGCAAAAATAAAATCACTGAGCAAATTACCTCCAGAAGTTCACAATTTACCCAGTTAAATTGAACTAGGGTATCAATATCTTACATAATGACAAAATAATGAGTTAGGTAACATTAAATTATACAAAATTTTAAGTTCCACTGTTTATATTGAGGTGCAAGGAGTCTAGTTGAAAGAATTAATGTAGGCATTTACGTGAATGATAGTGGTGTACACACAGAAAGGATGACTCTGAAACTCATGCCAGCCTTTGTTGGAGTTCAAGTCAAACTATAGAAGAATTATACATCTATTCTGTGACCAGACTATGTTAGATGCCGTGAGAAATGAAAAACAGGGAAATGATGTTGTTAAACTTGAGAATCATCTAGTAAGGTAGCCAAGGTGTATGTGAAATAACATTAGAGGTAACAGGGAGAAGATAGATTATCAGTGGGACTGAAGAACACTGATCATCTTTAATTTCCCATATTTTTTGACAAACCCTGTTATATATATATAATAATACATATATAATAATATAATAGATATATATATATCGTTCAAAATAGAAGTATCTGATTATCCTCAGAAGAAAAAAAGAAAGCCATGGAAGAAAAAAAAATGCTCAACTTACATTTTCCAAGTAGAACAGAACATGGTCATTCTTGACTTCAGTCTTCATCACTTGGCCATTGTTTTCAAGCTTTGAAGAAATTGGCAGGGAGGGATGGGGAATAGATATTAAAGGGTACCATTCCAGAATTGAATGCTTCATGCTTTTTATTTAATCAGTTGTCAGGAATCTATTTTATGGAATGTTCTCTTGTGCCATGATGTTTTCATAAACACAAGTAGAAACTAAATAAAGAAATAGATTATGAACTATGGGAAATAATGACTAATAATTGCTATAAATTAAGAACTCCATCCCTCCAGTGTTACAGCAAATAAAGATGTGAACTCTGCATACGTTTGTTTAAAGAATTACAGGGCCGGCCCCGTGGCTTAGCGGTTAAGTGCGCGCGCTCTGCTGCTGGCGGCCTGGGTTCGGATCCCGGGCGCGCACCGACGCACCGCTTCTCCGGCCATGCTGAGGCCGCGTCCCACATACAGCAACTAGAAGGATGTGCAACTATGACATACAACGATCTACTGGGGCTTTGGGGGGAAAAAATAAATAAATAAAATCTTTAAAAAAAAAAAAAAAAAAAAGAATTACATGGCTTGGTTTGCCAGTGAATTATTTCATCTATACACTATTTCTTTTTCTGTGCTGCAAAATTAAGCTTCTCTTATTTACCTCCTCAGTGGATGCCATGACTGGAGTAAATCCTGATAGCATTTTTACATCAACAACAACCATATTGGAGTTATTGCGAATTCCAGTATATCTGAAATTTAAAAACAAAACATTAGTTTAGACATCAGTTTGGGAAAATGACTTATCTTATGGCAAGCGTGGTGCGTACATAGATACCAATTGGCTATGAGTGCGGAGGAAAGGAAAAAGCTGAAGAGGGAACACCTGAAGAAAGTCAATTCTCAGACATCCAAGAATAGGCACATCCAAGAATAGGCACACCTAGAGTGATAATGGAGGAGATAATACAAAGCAATGGAAGTTGGAGTAAAGAATAAATTATCTGGACCTTGAATCTCCCCAAACGCTGCTTTTAATCTTACCTGAGGCCTCAAAGTCAGAACTTATAGACAAACTTATAAATTTATAGTACATATACTTATGTTGACCTTAGATTGCACAACACTTAAAGGAGATCTTTGTTTAGAAAGCAAGATGTTGGCAGAATCGTACAGTAGATACGTCCCCAAGAGATCTTCTAGGCTATGTCCCTGACTCTGTATAGAATTGCTGGGACCTGAAGTTGAAGAGTTCAACAATGTATTTAGTTCTAATCCTAGCTCTAGTGCTCAAGAGATTTTCATTTGGAAATCCTAAATAAAATCCCCCAAACTAACTATACTCAGTATTTCTCCACATATTAACCAAGGCTAAAACTCTTTGGCATCTATAAATTATATTTTAATTCAAGAGGATTATTTTGGTTTTCTACTCTGAATAACAAAAATCTAAAATTTTGCTCTTTACAGTTATAAAATAAACATTTGTAGGTTTTTCTCCTATAGGCCCCCCTGTGCATATCTTTAGGAGGAAAAATTGTAACTCCATTGTCCAAAACTGACAGTACTTCCATGCAAAAAAATGGAAGCATTGCTGGAATATCAGTGTGGCAGAAGCTCTCAAATTATACTTGCATATAGTACAAATTATACTTGCATAATTCTAGCTCTGATTTAGTTTAAAATATACTAATTGTGGTATGGACACAGAGAGCTATAAAGTGACTATGCTACAGAAATATCACCATTAACATATGAACTCATTATGGTTACCATCCTTAATATTTTGTTGTTTTGCTACTGTTTAAAATAATACTTTTTTGATATGTTACCCTTTCTCTACCTGGGAGTTGATATCAAAATGGGACACTTACCTGAGGGTTACTGTCAGGTCGAAATTACTCTGGAACGTATCTGAAGAGTTGTTCTTTACCATTTCCAAGGAAAGGAAAAATCCAGATGCCGTCTTAGGTAGAAGCACATTGTACCTTAGGCTGGCCTAAAAAGCAGAACAGATTATAAGAAAATCCATTCATTTATCCTGTAGTAAAAACTGAACGACTCATTGTTTCTCTATTTCCATTATTACTTCACACTTTATTTTACATCTTTACCATCAGCGAATAAGGTTAAATATAATTGTTTAGTTTTCAGAGTACACAAGAATCTCTAACATAATTTAATGAAAATATCGGAATGCTCTCTGACGGTGACATTCCTCAAGACACTTCTCAGTCACCCAGCTATACTTAAAGGTAAGTACCTCTTCGTAAAATCACTTGCATTTTCAGCTATTGATTAGAAAATATCAATGAGAGAAAGAGTAGAGATAATCATGGAAATACGCAAAATGGTAAAATCACACGTCATCTATAACTGAAGAGATAGGCTGATTCTTTTACCGGCAAACGTTCATCTCTGTCCCAGGTAGATTTCTATTACCTGGATAAATGTACAACCTTGTCCTTCCACGACTACTGCGTATTGTCCACGCACTTTTCTTAGTTCTGAACGTTGGACTAGCAAGCGGTTGTCACTGTTAACCTGGAAAGTCTCACTGGATTCTTCACCGCTAAAGGTGACGGTGTTTTGACCATTAGAGAATGTGAGCTTCATGTAGCGGGTTACGGCAAGGAGACAGACGGCAGTGTCCTGCACAGAACAATACAAGCAACAATCCAAGCTCAGTTATGACGCGGTATCAGTCATCATTTGACCGTGAACTTTAAATCAGTCCTTAGAAATATTCCTAAGACAGATCAACAGCAACACCAAGAAGCAATATCCTAAACAATAGGAACATATCTTTGCTTGTGCTAGTTGTTACCATTTAAATTAATTTTCTCCAATAAATATTAATTAGATTTTAGTTTTCTAAAGGATTTCATAAAGTATAATCTCTGCTGTTGAAAATAGTGCCAAATCTTTTCTAAAAAATTTAGAAATTTTTGGTCTCTCGCTGCCTTGGACAATGCTTATGCCCAATTATCTTCAAAGAAGGGAAGTCAGATTCAGGAAAGGATGTTGCAAGAGTCACCGACACATGGTTTTACTCAGAAACTAAGATTGAAAAAAGGAAAGTAAGGAGGGAAGTGAAGATTTTCCTTGTGGGAATAAAACTGCATTTCTTTGCATTTAAAATTTTTAAGGAAAGTCATAAATCATTGTATTTCATATACATTTCCTCTGTTATTTATTCATTTCATTTGCTCTTCCCAGTGTGTAGACCACAAAAATAGACAGAAATATTTCTTCCTGGTTGATATGTAGTTTGACCATAGTATCATCAGATATCTAACTTATCGCCAAGACACTGGGGCTTATGACAACAGTCTCTTCTAGACTTACATTCTATTCTACTGTGTAAATGGAGATATAAATCAGGCATAGATTTCTTGAAAAAGGGCCTTATTTTATTCATTTGTATATAGAGAATTCATAGTACAGTGCCTGATACACAAGAACTGCCCAAAAATAATTGTTGACCAAATAAAACTGGATTTATAATAGCTACTATTCTTCATCTCAGAAGGTGTTTTCTGTGATTATCTTTGCTGTCTTGATTATTGTAGAACAGCATCTTTTGCATTAAACATATTGTTATTAATGTCAGACCCATAGCAATCACCTGAGTGGAAGAGAATCCTCCATGGGAATTCATCTGTTGGGCAAGCCACTGCACAATCTTACTAGCATAGGTCAGGTCAGGAGTTTTCTGGGAAACGACAGCCAACAGCACATAGCAAGTCTTCTCAGTCTCAGCAGAAGGTGCTCGAGGAATAAAGGATGAGGATGCTTCCGTCTCGGGTTTCTTTGCTCTTTCCCAATATATCACATTATCTGAGAAAAAGGAAGAATTTTCACACAGTTCCTATAAAGAGAACTGATTAGACATAAGAATAATGTAAATTCCATTCTTGGCCTCTGTCATGGGCTGAATTCTGTCCCTCAAAATTCACATATTCAAGCCCTACTCCCCAGAACCTCAGAATGTGACTATATTTGGAGCTGGGCCTTTAAGGAGGTGATTAAGGTAAAATGAAGCTGTTAGGGCAGGCCCTAATCCAATACAACTGGTGTCCTAATCAGCAGAGGAAATTTGGACTCATGAAAGGGACACCAGGGAATCACACACACAGAAAAAACCTGCGTGAATATGGAGGGAGAAGACGGCTATCTACAAACCATGGAGAGAGGTCTCCGAAGAAACTGCACCTGCCAATGCCTTGATCTTGGACTTCCAGCCTCCAGAACCATAAAAAAATAAATCTCTGTTGTTTAAGCCACCGAGTTCATGGTATTTTGTTATGGCAGCCCTGGCAAACTAACACAGCTTCAAATAGCAACTTCCTAAGGTCAAAAGTGGTATGTGATTAAATTTCACAAGCAGTTTTTATTATCTATGGCATGGTTACCATGCTTGATTTCCTTTAGTTCACTCATTTGAGAAGAAACTAGCAGAAAAGAGAAAGAAGGAAATAGAAAATATATAATGCTCTTTAAAGATAAAGGGCCACTCAGGAGTTTGATAAGAGAAATAGAAAACTACTAGTGAAGAGAAGGTTCCTATACAATTGCTAAGTAAGTTTCATCACTTTATTCTTAAGGTCACCTCCATTAGCAAAGCGAATAATGATACTTACTTATTTTTGTAGCAGATTGATCCAGGATCTGGAGTAAGGATTCCACTTGCTCCTCTTTTCCAGCTAATGCAAAAGCATAAGCTAGAACTGCCTGATTATAGCCGTTAGTGATGCCATTTTCCAACGCCTCCTCTAGGCAAAAGAGCCCATTTCGTAGAGCAGGAAACTAGTCATGAAGAAGAGGAATATATTTTAAAATAATACCTGAATATTTTCCAAGCTTGTTGAATATTTAAACTAATCACTCTTTATAATGTATATTATATAACCTTGAAGTATACTTTACATACAAACCGTTCATATACTTACATATGCACTATATTTTATAAATATTGTCAAAATTAATTTTTAATGAATTTTTAGTATTTGAGAAATAAAATTTAAGTAGGATGAAAATGGCAGTCTCTATATGTGATAAGTCATATTTTAGTTAACAATATAAATTTCTTCTCTGTGGCAAAGTATACAAATTTATTTTTAGACCTAAGATTTTACTCTAATGCCTTAAATAGAGACTTATATTGATGATTTTAGAGATATACTAATGACCTTGAAAATTCCTGGTATCTTAGTTCAGGAATAGATCTTGCAATCAGATAATCTGAATTTTGGATTGGGAGGTAGCCGAAACGAATCACACTTAAGTTGAAAATGTTTACACACTGAATGGATTAGACAAACAGAATACTAGGTTATGGCTATACTTAGATCTTAATCTGAAATTCATGGCTGAACTTCCGGAGATATGTAAATACCTGAAATGGTATGAATATCTTGTGTATGTCTACATATGTATATTCTCCCTAAGGAAAATCTCAATAGTGTTCATCAAAGGATTCTATGAATCAAAAAAGTCAGATTAGCATCAGGTTAAAGAGTGGTAATGAATTAAATGTTCTCTTGATGTTTCATTCAGTCTAAGAATTTCAAATCACTCTGAATCCATAGTTTATTCAATATACATTCAGCTGATGGAAACTAAAAGATGATGAGAAGCCATACAGTTAAATCGAGCCCAGCTTCCAGGAACGCTCCAACAATATACGCAGTGAGTAAAATGTCCTCTTCATCTCCACTCTAAGCACAAAGGAACAATGAGTCATTTAGGATAGTAGAGCACAAGAACAGCTATGCTTCTGAAGTGAAACTAGGTATGAAAGAAACACTGGAACAAATACCATTATTCATAAAAACACCTAAAATGTGTAATTTTAAAATTAAATTGTTAATAACTGTGCTATCTGAGCAAGAATCCATCAAGACCCAATATAGTAATGAAATAAAATGTTACTATAATCTTATGTTATATGTTACTATATATGTTATATGTTACGATAATGTTACAATTAATCTCAAGTATACTTAACGACATATATAATCATACTTACGTGGCCTGGTATTAAGGATGAATTCTAAGCAATTCATATGACCCTATTTTATTCTATTTAGTAATAATTTGAAAAGCAAGCAAAGAATTTCTGATGGAGTCAAGCAGAAAGTTGCTATGAAGCTTCCTGAACATCTCTGGAAAAATATCCTAAGAGGTTACAATAGTCAGGTATCGTAGATTCTTACAGTGTAAAATTAGAAAAACATTTATTAAGTTATGCAGTTTGCAAACTGTGCATAAAAATTCCATAGGGAACTTAAGCATAAAATAAATCAGTATCCATAAGAGATCTGGACTTAAAAAGTCAGGAAATAAGATACACGGAAATGAATTTTTTTTTTTTTTTGCAAGGAAGATCAGCCCTGTGCTAACATCTGCCAATTCTCCTCTTTTTTTTCTTTGCTGAGGAAGACTGGCCCTGGGCTAACATCTGTGCCCATCTTCCTCCACTTTATATGGGACGCCACCACAGCATGGCTTGCCAAGTGGTGTGTCAGTGCGCGCCCAGGATCCGAACCAGTGAACCTCTGGCCGCAGCAGCAGAGCGCATTCACTTAACCACTTGTGCCACCGGCTGGCCCCGAGAAATGAACTTTAATGGGTGCTCTAGTAATACTGATGCAAATAGCATTCAGGTGGCATCTGGGATCCCCTAATCTAACGTAAACCTCTCATTTTATCTATTTAAGCAAAAAGTGACCTCTGTCTTTTTTAGAAAACAAGTATTTTTGAGGAGCTCAGTTTTCAAGGTGCAAGTAACTGTGGATGGTGGACACTAAAATAAGATGTGAGGATCCAGAGCACATTTCAATTATAACAAGTTGTATCACTATTCCTCTGCAGTGTAAGTTTTTATTTTTTTTCCTTGCTTCTTACTCCCTCTCAACTCAAAACACAGACACACATACACATTTAATTATGGGAAAAGAATTGGAAAAGAATTGGGTAAGATCAAAGAAACTGAAGTAATGATCAGTAATGGATCCAATAAGAAGAAAAATGTGGAGAAGATGCTTTAGAAGAGAACATGAAAAATTTCTCATTTTTCTACATAGGAGCAAGAGCTCTTCTCCATTACGCTCCTGTCATTGTGAAGATTAGGTTTGGAATAATTTAAAGATATTTTTCCACACTACATAATAGTAAAGCAATTTGAAAACAATTCACATGACAATTAACAGAGTTGCTATTCATACATATTTTGAAGTGGATTACCTTTACATTCCAAAATCCAAGAATAGGAGCGGTGATTAAGAAGGATACAGAGGAAAGGCCCAGAATATTTGAGGGGCTATCAGGGCATGCTCAAGTATTTGATCTGGGATTGTGTTTCCAGTGGGAAACACAAAGGTTGGGGGAATAAAGGACACAGAGGATGGGATGGAGGTGAGCAGCTATCTGCAAAGAAGGGAAATCAAAATGAAGGGAGAATGCATGGTGATTTACTTAAATATGGACAGGGAAAGGGAAGGAGTGGGTACTGTCAAGGACATATTTCGTCTCACTGGATTTTGACGTAGGGCAAGCTAGGCCTTCGTGTCTTAACTTGAGGGGTATTGGAAGAGTGCTGCATTGAAATGATGTAAATTGGTAGATGATCTCCCTGAACTTTCTTGCCATCCATAAATAGGAGTCAATTATCTAATCAAGGCCTCCTTCCCTTAAATTGTCTGGCTCTAAATTTATGAATGCTTCATCTCTTTCTCTCTCCTCTCTTCTATTTCCGGTTTATCCTACTGAAGAAGACTAGATCTATGGAAGGACTAAAGACAGTAAGGCAAACAATAGACTCATGAGGAGTTATATCTAAGCTGTGGTTGATATGCATGCAGCAGGAATGATGCTGTTGACCAATACACCACAGGCCTATGACTACAGCAGACTCAGAAGGGGTAAGAGTCACAAGAAAAATATTCATATTCCAGATAGGCTAGAGGGAGGAAGGTAGACAATGCAAAAAGGCAAGGAAAGCCTAGTTCTGTTAATCTCTCACCTCCCAGGCATTGTTGAAAAACTTGCCATCGCTTTTAAAGCAGCCATTTCCTTTCTGTTGGCTTGCAAGCCAGATCAAGGTCTGTTTTTGAACTTGTTCATCAATGAAAACATATTTCTTCATTCCCTCTAATGTCTTAAAAGTAAGAGCACTGAGCCTGTAATGCAAATTCCAGTTACACAAAAGTTAGAGAAGAAAGAAATGATGATGTCATCTACTTAACAGTTCATCACCATTGTTCCCTTTGGATAATGGATACACCTAATTTGACTAATGTTGACTGCAATGTCTTCATGGATAGTGACTCTTTCCTTTGGACCAGTAAAATATCATGAATAGCAATATGTGAAAATAACAGCATGTAATTTTCAGCATGTTTACACACAAAGATCTTGCTATATAGTTCATCAGTTATCCATACGTGTAGAAAGAACGGGTGTAACTAAATGCTTTGGGGACTTCCAGTTTTACTCTCCTGAGTCTACGTGGGCAAGTGTTGACTTGTTAGAAAACGCCATTTTCCATGGAGTGAAGAATCTGTGAAAGCATAGGAGGATCTCATTAAATGACAAGATTCCTAAGCAAGTTGCCATAAGACTCTAGGTATATTGTTGTATTAGAATTGGAATAATCAAATATTTTAGTTTTATCTGATTTACTTCAGTAAATTCACTCTGAAACCCACTGTGCTTCCAAATCCCCACTGAACTCAACTCCCTTCACTCCTTCACAAGTCCTCCTCAGATCATTCCTATATTATTTAAAGTAAAATTTTCATCTCTCACCATATGCTTCCTTCTTGATTCCTGTGCCAAAACACACTATATGAACCATCAAAGTTTTTGAAAGACAACTGCTTTTGATAACCTAAAATACAAAATTGTAGGAAATTATTTTTTTAATGTAAGACAGAAGCAAAAGAATGGTATAGTGCAAGCCCTATGTTTTGGTGTTAGACAGACAAATTACTAGGATGACCATTTCAATTTTAATTTCTGAAACTCAGGTTCTCTATCCATAGTGAGAAAAAAATAACTCCTACCTTATAGGGTTTTAATGACAAATAAGATATTACATGTGACTGTGCCTAGCTCAATAATTGGTAAGTACTAATTGTTTAATACCTTTTCTTTAAGGTTATTTTACTTCACTGTTATCTTTCTGAAAAGAAAAGCCAAAGAAATTATACCCTTGGACTTTTCCTTAATATCACCTTTTACAAGGTTTATACACCCTTTTTTTTAACATATAAATCCAATCACTTCATTGAGATGGAATGCAACTGAGTAAACAAATACAGAAGTTGATAAATAAACCATTTATAGCTGCTATTAGTAATAACAACAACAAACAAGGTAGCTTGGCAAAATGTTGGGCATTAAAAAAAAACAGCTCATAACTTGCAATGTTACAGTTCTAAATTGTGAAACTGAATGACCACATGGATACTGAAGTCAAAAAAAACAAAAACCAAAAACATAGCTAGGACTCAGAGTACCTCAGTTCAGATCCACTTTTTCCCCATGAGACTACCTCATAGTAACAGCTGTATGACATCTTGGTATTAGTAATAATTGATTTCATCTATTATAGGCAGAAAATGACTTAAATCTTCTCACCGTTGGATAAGAAAAAGATAGCCTTAGATTTAACTTCCTCTGTCAATTGCTTAGTAGCTTTCAGATAGTCAAGGATATAGGTATCAGATGCCAGTAGGGCAATATTCTGCTCTCCACATCCATAGGGCATTTGGAGAAGATTCTCCAGGTTCTGCATTGCAAGTCCTAGAATATCCCCTAAAAATTGGGAAAATAGAAAGTTACTATTGCTTATAGTTGGTATCTCAGCATTAATAACTCTAGATAAAAGAGGCATAGTGGAAGTAGGAAATATTTAAAATTGAATTTAAAAGGTAGAAACAAGGACAATTTTCATGAAGTAATTCTAAAGAAGGGATAGGAACAATGGGTGAAGTTAAAGGGGTTTTTGGTATGAAAAATATTTCTGAAAATCTCATGACCAGAGAAAGGGGGAAGTTAGGAAAGTGTGTGTGTTTGCTTGCTTGTTTGTTTTCTGAGAAACTGACCTATAACTGAACCATAAACTGTAATCCATCCTCTCCCCAAAAGTGTTCATTTTAATGATAGACAAAGAAGTTTGTTGTAAAACAAATTTCTCCTATTACTGAGGAAATTTCCAGCGTCTTTAACAAGCAAAGTTTATTCTGATTCTCCAAAGGGGAATTTAACAATTCAGATTAATGGGATACAATAAAACGCTTGTGTTCTAAACACCAGTTATCATCTACCAGAACAAGTGTTTCCTAGGGACATAGATTTGAAAATGGTCTTATAATCCCCTGAGATCCCATACGGAGATAAGCATAGAGGATAATCCTCAACAACAATTCTCTCCAATTGATAGCTTAAGAAAATCTTGCCATTCTGTTATTTTAAGGATTTTTTTTTGAGATTACTTCAATCAAGATTTTCAAATCATTGGGAAACACAAATTTTACCAACTTACCCACAACAGTGAAAAAGGCCCTGGCTGATCCTTCTACTACACTGTTTGGCAAGTTCAAAACTATCTGCCTGGAGGCTTTGGTACCTGGAAATAAAATATCAATAAAATAAATAATGTGATGATTTCATTTTATAAACAATACCAGCAGATTTGTGAGACAAAAATATTAGGAAATAAATTCCATTATTTATTTTTACTTTACAAATTGCTTGTTAGAAGAGATGAAATTGAAGTTTTGATCTAGTTTAGAATAACAATACATTCAGAAAATGGTATATAATCTATGTGTTAGAGAATGGCCCCTATTCTCCATTAGTTTAGTGCCTAAACTATTTGTGTATTAAAAAAAAAATGTAAGAAACTACTGACTATGATGTATAAAACAGCACACACAAAAGGTAAAGCTTGCAGACTCCTACTACGCATTAAAATCAAATTATCATCAACCAGATAAAACAATACTCGTGATGGCTATACAGAGACGATTGAGGGGCAGTGATTTATCTATGGGTTCTTTCATCCCAAGTATACAAAAGCAAGGGTTACATTATGTGCTCTTTGAGCATAATCCTGATTTCCCACTGTCCACTATTGTGCCACAATCATATGACAAGAGGAGCCAAAAATATACAAGATGAGAAAAATAGGTCGAGGCAGACAAGTGTCATAGGTGAACTAAAAAATAATCTCCTGAATATACTTTTTGTTTGCTAAAATTATACAATGAAGAGAGGGCATGAAATAAAATCCTCCATTAGGTATTTAGAATGAAATCACTGAGGTACTCAGTATGGCAAGTGGACTAATGTGGAAGGAGAGGAAATAAATTGATCTTTTGGAGAAATTTTCTTTATGACTGATTTGACCACCTCAAAGATCTTCTTACCGTTTGTACAGATAAGGAAACTTTGAGTCATTTCTTTTTCAATACCTTCAGGCTGTCAAAAAGTAAACAAAAACAAGCACAAAATAATGAGTCTGGGTCATCTTTTCATGAAGGGAAAGTAACCCAGCATCAGCTCACATAGGCATGGCTTGCACATGTTTGTCCCTGGGAGAAGATCCATCTAGGGTCCCCTTCTATTTACATCTGGATGTCACTGTACGTTACCAATTCTCATTTTAGGCCCTGTGTTCCCATAATTCAGACAGAGATAACTTCAACATCATCAAGAGACACTCTCAACTCCTCTGATCCTGTCTAGAGTCTCCAGTAGATTAATCAAAGTGTTTTGCAGAGTAGAAATATGCCAAGAGGCAAGGTGAGAATGCTCCACTGACAAGCATTGATTCTTTCTGAGGATGATGGGAACTACGCAGGTATGTAGGACAAGTAGATTTGTCTCTTGGATCTGAGACTCAGTTAAAAAAAAGGGAGGGAAGAGGAATAGGTGTACAGGAAACATCACGGTCAGGAGCAAACAAAAAATCATGAAGCCTATTTCAACTGTTAGGTTGTTCTATCCCGGGTCAAGTATTAACTAAAGGATGAATTTTATTGCTATTTTAATTCATTTAAAATGACATGTCTTGTGTCAAAAGTAACTATGGTCAATTAATTAAGTCTCTTCAAGGAGAATGTCTTTTAATATTTAACCTATTAGACACTGTCTATTTCGTATCTGGAAGAGCTTGATAGTTTTGCATGTACGTACCTCTACCAACAAACTTTTGATCACAGTGTCTTTCCAGTGTAGATTTTGCTGCTCAGTTGCGTCACTTGGGCAAGAACTACTTTGTTTGGACTCAGCAACTACAGTGATGTTGATTTCACCTGGAAAAAACTCCCCAATATAAGTTAAATTGAGCAGTGGCCCCATCTGTAATGGGAAATGATAAGTCTCTGAGCAATATCTTGCATTAGATTAACTGAATTCTATCATCATATTTATGCTTAGACCAAAATAACTTGCTCTTTCTCCTGCCTGAAGATAATCTCTTTTACCTATTTCAAGAGTCCTTATATTAAATAAGTGGTTCACTTACTTATTTAGAACTTAAGAAATTTTAAGGAAAAATAATATTCTGCAAAGCCAACTGAGCCAACTCCTTGATATTGATTGTTTATAAAGGTTACATATGACAATATAGAGATGTAACATCAGATAACCAGGGCTCCTAACTTTTCCCAAGATCAAACAAATAAAAATAGTAAAATACGACATAGTGGAAAGGACACTGGATTTAAATCAAGTGCTAGCAAGGAATCCATTGTTTTTAATTCTCTGTGATATCACAGGTCACATAAAACTGATCTCGTTTCCTTATTTGTAAAATTAGAGGATTGAAAAAGATAATTCTTTTGTTTAGTATTACCTGTATGCTTATATACCAATATATATAACCAATATACTGTTCTTGTTTTATGTTTGTTGGTGTGTTTTGTTTCCTTTGTTTCTTTTTTAGAAAATCTTGGTGCTGCACTCTTAGAACTGTGTCCTCCACTTAATGCCGTAAAACTATGCAAATCAGTGCAGTGTTCTATCTCAATTGACAGGGTAAGATTTTTGAAGACCTTGTGTAGTTAGAAAAATTGAGAAACTTAAAATCTAATAGAAAAACTAGTCTTAGGCAGACCAACATAACAGGTGAACTAACATGATCTCGTCAATATACTCTTTGCTGCTAAAATAATACTGACTATGGGACATGAAGTAAAAGAAATTTTAAGGACAATTTTTAAAATTAGTGATAATTTTGTGCCATTCTAGCACTCTCTGTTTACTAGACTCTTTTTAACTTTTCCCTTCCCTTATATTTTCAACAAGATACTTTCAAATTTACTTTTCTATATTGCAGGCAATATATGCACTGAAACAATACTCTTCTCAGTGTGTGATCTCCACCCAAGTTTTTGGTGTCTCATAATATATTTAGTAAATTTGCAAATCCTGGCAATCATTGCGATTGAGAAGCAATTTTTGTATAGGTCACACAGGTTCTTGATGACAGGTGAAGGAGCAGGTGAGAAGTGAAGGAATTAGGCAGCATTAATGAAAATATTGCCTTCATTTGAGATATGATGTATGTATTTGACAGGTTATATAAATTAGCAATTATATTTCAATCACATTATGAAGGGTGGTTTTTCTCTACACAAACATTAGCAACCAGAAATTAGATTATAAAAATAGAATTTTTAATTGAGAATTCAAAAAAAGGAGAATTAAAAATGTGAAGGAGAAAATTATGTTTGTATAGAAGATTTAAGGAAAATAAATGGAGGCAGTAAAAATAGGCTGGTTTTCCAGGAAAGATTGGCATAGACATATAGCTGCTTACCTAGTTTCTTAGGTTTAAGAGTCCAGACATATGTTTTCCTTTCTCCAGCTTGGATAATTTCACTGCCATTGTTTTTGGGGGTGCTGATATTTGCCTCGAAATTCGGAGACGCTTCCAGTTGAACAGATATCTGAAAAAAAACAGTCATGGAAATGAGAGTGGCACTCTAAATACTTTGCTGTTACTATTTCTCTTCCCATCTTGAGAAAATTCTGTTGTATTTATTTGAAGTTAGTGAAAATAAAAAATACCAAATGATTCCTCTCACAAGAAGATAAATTGGTAGAACACACATGATTACGAAATGACATTCTCAAAGCAGTATTTAAATCATTGCTGTGATTTAAAGCAATTGTTTTTGTTTAAGGAATATAGAAACAAGTCTTATCACTTTATAGTACCATTTTGCATTTGAGAATAAAAAGAATATGGCAATATTCAACAAAAATATCAAGTAATCTTTTGGCCTTGTTAGATTTTGTCTCCAGATCAAAGGGAACAACTTACCTCTACACATGAATTCAGGTAGCTGAAGACATTGACAATCAAATCAGATTGTTCATTTCGAACAACTGAAAAGGGCAAGGTCATTTCAACAAAGAAAGACTGGAAGACTTCCAGAGTAGTTGTTGACGAAATGCCAAATCCAGCATCACCATTCACACAGAAGCCATTTGCCTCCCATTGGGTTATGGTGTCAGGGACGAGGAATGAAAGATTTGCTGAACCTGAGGAACTACAAGGAAATATTATTGGCAAAATGCATTCTTTGTCTAAACAAGGAAGCTAAATGTAGTCCAGAGGAAGCAAAAGGGCGTTAACTGAAGGCTAAAAATGAGTTATAGCGTTTGTACAGGGAATTAAATAAAAATCTTGAGAGCTGGATTTCTACAAAATTTAACCTTAAAAAGGTCACATTTCTTTAAACATCACGTTATTTTCAAAAAAATTGAGGCAACTCACATCCATCTGTGTGAAGTTAATAGATAAGAAAATAAAATATGTGGTCAGTACATACAAATAAATTGTATTATATGTTTTACAAATATGGTACTGCTCTATATACCCAGAAATAAAGTTTAAGAAATAAAAACAAAAAGGAAATAGAAATAAAGTCACATAGGAGAGAAAACTGTTAAAAACTCACTTGACACTGATGAGGTCCCATATCCATGTCTCTGGAAAGTTTGTTCTTACTGTTTCCATTATAGCCTGTTCTACGGGGTTAAAATTCTCCTCCATGACTCCACTAGCTAAAAGAAAAATGTCTTATTTAGGAAGAATAAAAATATGTGTTTGAATGACACACACCTCTAATCTATGTCTTTAACCACACATGCTTAGTGTGAAGCGATATAGGGATTTGCTCCTGGGGCTCGTTGCCAATAGATGTACATCTCACCCTAATATTGGGAGAGATCTGAGCATCAGCATTTTGGTTATCAGATCGACTGTCAGGTTATCAGATCAACTGTCAGGGTATCACAGTGCTAGTGTTCAAGTCACCCTTATTCTACTTAATAATGGCCCCAAAGCACAAGAGTAGTGACGCTGGCAGTTCAGATACGCCAAAGAGAAGCCACAAAGTGTTCCTGTAAGTGAAAAGGTGAAAGTTCTCAACTTAATAAAGAAAGAAAAAAAATTGTACGCTGAGGTTGCTAAGATCTATAGTAACTTTTATTACAGTATAACGTTATAATTGTTCTATTTTATTATTAGCTATTGTTGTTAATCTCTTACTGTGCCTAATTTATAAATTAAATTTTATCATGGGTATGGATGTGTAGGAAAAAACACACTAAATGTAGGGTTCGGTACTAACTGTGGTTTCAGGCGTCCACTGGGGGTCTTGGAACGTATCCCCTTAGATAAGGGGGGACTACTGTATATCCTGCCCCTGCTTCTCTCCAGTATTTCCTATTTCCATGAAAGGTTGCAAATCCACCCACTTACCCAGGTCAGAAACTTAAGAATTGTCCTTGGCACCACCCCTTTTCCTGCATTTCCCATAACTGACCAAATGAAAACAGCTTAAAAATAACTCTCATATCCATCCATGTTTCTCTGTTTCCACTGTCTTTTTATAGTAGTCCGAACACCTGTGTCTCTCAATTTAATTACTAGCATTTATAACATTTCATACAGAAAGTCTTAGCTCAAATCTAAATCCCTTTTCCACAGAGTAGCCAGAAATAGCTTTTAAAAACACATATTGGATTATCTGCTTGCAACTTGCCGGTAGTAATAATGCATTACTGCATTAGAATGAGTTCCAGACTCTTTAAATGGCTTACAAGGTCTTCATGATCTGTCTGTCTATCCCTCCTGCTCATCCTTGAACCATACCTTCTGCCATTCTGAAGTGCTTTTAGTTTCTAACCTTATCTTTCATAGTGCTTTCCTCTTCGCTTGGAATGCCCTTCTAACTCTTTTTGTGATGTATTATCATTCGTCTTTCAGGTCTCAGCACAAATGCTACTTCCTCCAGGAGGAGATAATAGGCCCTTGAGAAATTTAAGTCTTCTATTCATATTATTTCCATTTAATGCAGGCTTCCCAGGTTTTTGGAATTACTTGTTTTGCTGTTAGACTAAAAGTTCTAGGAAAGTATACAGTAAGCTACTGTATTTATAATACGTAACTCAGTTCCTGGCCTCAATAAATGTTTGTTGAGTGAATTAATAAATGAATAACTGAAGAAAGGAGAGATTAACATGAATGATTGGGGTTTCAGTACATTTTATTCAAAGATATTAAAAAGTTTAGATGTTTCTGATAAAGTTTACTAAATATGGTTTAATCTAGTAGCAGAAAACTAGATACCTTCAACCTCTTGACTAGGACTTCAAAATGGTTTCAACTTCTGGACTCTATGGGGCCTCTTGAATGCTCACGGAGTCTACTCTCATATAAAGCTGTCAGGACTTTCATTTTTCCTAAGTGGAGTTTCTTATACCCGACTTCAGGATCAGCCCCACTTCAATTACTGGACTACTCTCAATGTTAGGCCAGAGGGATTTAAGGAATGTTATTAAGTATTTTCAGATCTGGAATACAGCTTTGATTTTGGTTCTGTTTTGATGGCCTAGTTTCATTTTGCTTTCCTGACTAAATCTCTGTATTGGAAATCTGCCTAATTTTACCTTATTCATCTAAGATTACAGCGGAGTTTTGTGTTTACAGTCCTTCCAATAGGAAATGGACTAGTGAACACACTTTTCTGATGCCACCTGTCTGGCTATTTGAGAATCAAAATGTCCTCGGCCTTGAACTCGGCACATAATACGGGTATTAAGGGCTTCTCATTCTCCTTTTTGATACTCACTTTTTTTTTTTTTTTGAGGAAGATCAGCCCTGAGCTAACATCTGTGCTAATCCTCCTTTTTTTGCTAAGGAAGACCGGCTCTGAGCTAACATCTATTGCCAATCCTCCTCCTTTTTTTCCCCAAAGCCCCAGTATTAGATAGCTGTATGTCATAGTTGCACATTCTTCCAGTTGCTGTATGTGGGACATGGCCTCAGCATGGCTGGAGAAGCGGTACGTCGGTGCGTGCCCGGGATCCGAACCCGTGCCGCCAGTAGCGGAACATGCTCACTTAACCACTAAGCCACGGGGCTGGCCCTTGATACTCACATTTAATGACTATCCTCCTGCATCATCACACATCGCCTACTCCTATACACTTCTGATACTGTGTTCTACCAATAAAAATAAACTTCCTCTCATATCTGAAGCCAATTTTTCCTTTTAGCCAAAACCATTTCCAGCCTACCTTATTCTGCTTTATTCAACTGCAGGATGTCTATTTGCAACCAAAAACATGGCATAATTCACATGTAAAATCTCAATTTTTTATAATTTTATCCCAAATACACCCAATTCTATGAATCCCTTTGGCCATCTCCCAGATACAAAATTCTAGATTACCCAATGCAATTCTAGATGGGACACTGTACATCAGTGCAGAGCCTCCTGGTCCTAGATATAATGGCCTCACCAACGGCATCCTCTCCACTGAACATACTTCTGGTTTCCGGTAATGGAGATTAGTAAAGACTTTCAGACTCATATCCTTCAAAGAAACAAACAACAAAAGAAAAGTTGTGCATTCTTTTCTTACAAAACCTAAAAAAGGCCTATCAGCTATATTATAATGATAAATAGATGATAAATATATATGTTTCCTCTGCTAGTAAGGGTCTGGTATTTTAGAAGTCAAGTCATTTCTATTTGATGCATGGAAAATCTCTAACTTAGAGGAAAAATGATAATCACTATGATGTATCTAGCACATATCATATGCTAAAATTTTACTACATATTTTACGTCATTCTCCTTTTAATTCTAAGGGAAAAATACTTACAAGATAGCACTATCATTACCCTAATTAACATCAAACACACACACACACACACATAAGGCATGGTCAGTAATTTGGAGACCTGGGATTTAAACTACAGTGTGTCTAATTCTATCCCCCTTTTCTTCTACATCTGTGACTTCAGTTATAAAGGTCCTTTTGTGGAGGCCTCAGCATGTCTAATTAATAGCCTAGGTTTTGAGGGAGCTCAGCCTATATTTTAGTCTCTTGATTTGATGATTTCTGCATAAGATTTATTGCAATAAATTGGAGACTGTCTCATTACTCTGAACTTGAGGTTTTATAATTTCAGCTGCCACTTAATTTATTTTCAACAAAAGAGACAAAATCAACAAAAATTAGTATCTCCTTTTTATAAGACAATTTTTGAGTGCTCTTTAAGCAGATTACTGACACCAATCTCAAGGAATAGGAAGAAAACTATGTAATTAATAAAACATAGGTATGCACTATGAATACTAAAGTTAAACTTGAGGTGAAAGAATTTTTAAAATCTTAAGTGATCTTACCTTGACAATATCATAGATGTCTCCATCCCCGTTGTTGCTTACAGGTATATAATATAAACCATTGTAAAATATATCCTTCTGAGGAATGCAAGGGTCTAGCTTGCCATCATCAAGGTTGAGACCATGATAGAAATAACCATGTAGTTCTATATTTGGAAGCAGGTTGTATACCTGTGAGAAAAATCACATGATTTCCAATGATTTTAGGCACTTCTGTTTTTACAACATTGGCGAATTTTGTGCCATACTATTTATTCTTGCTCTGTTCTTTAAGAGCATAGCCATTACATTTAATCCAACACTTTTGAGTCAACTTATTCTTCCAGAAGAGGAAACTTTCATTTTTGTTTTAGGCAATCAATGCCATGTTCACAGAACCTTTCAGCTTTGGTGCAGGATTTAGGATAGCACATAAGAAAGAGATGCCTGAAGATCTATAGATTAATCCAAGGGCTAGTGTACAGACAATTCATTGCAATTATAATGCTAGGACTCTCAGGTCTGGAGGAAAATGATTCTAAATCTTCTTACATATCCTTCAAAGAAAACATAAAATCAAAAAGAACAAGTAATAACAAGTAAAGAACACGATGACTTGTGTCTTTAACATGACTAGGGTACAGATAATCTCATGACCTTCAATTACTTGCTAGTAGAAAAATAAACACAAAATTCCAACAGAGCTTTCACTGCTGTTGAAAATTTGAGGGTATGGAAATCTGAAGAGAGAAAGCTTAAAAGACTATGTGAAAATAGAGGAGACTGACATGGAGAAATTAGAGGAAATACACACCAAATAAGCTCCAGATAAAAGAAAGAATGACATTGTCAAAATATGAATCGTAGTCCTTGGACTCGATAGTTCCCAATATAGGACACAGGGAAGGGGCTTGAAATAAATGGGCCCAAAAGTGGCAGCTTCCAAAAAGCATGGCTGGTGGGACATAATCAGATCATTAGAGGAGACGTGGAGACCCTTGGAAACAAGGCACTTAAAGGAGGAAAGGGTGTAAGAGGATAAAATTTAGGACACTGCAGAAACGAAAGAGAAATAAAATGTGCCAATATCTCCACTCTTATTTCCATTATCACAACATTTTTTATTAAAGAAATTGCACTTCATTATAACAGGAAAGGGCACTCTTTACCTATGAGCACTATCCATAAAATAGCAAGAACTGGAAAAAAATTAATTCCATGCAAAGCTGCTGTAAGATAAAAGAGAAAATGCAAATCAAAACATTGCAGCTGATGAAACTTCTCTGCTCAAGTCACTAACTAACAAACTAAATAAATAAATAAACAGAGAAAAGCCATACAAAAGTACGTCATGCAAATGAAATATTTTTAAACGTTCATTCGGGGTATTTAGAAACACACCATGAATTAGAAATTCAATAAAAAAAGAATGGAAATGAACAAAACCCAGAAAGAAATAAAATGAGAACTTATTGAAGTCAGAAATAGAGCAAGCAGCCAAAATTATATCAGAAGTAAAGTCTAAAGTATGAGGAGCTCAAGAAAAAATAGACCGAACGAAAACATTATACAGCAGCATAGGAAAAAAAGAAAAAAGAATAAAAATGGGAGAAAGAATGAATTAAAATGGGTCACAGGCAAAGTGGTTGAATTGGAAAGCAGGCAAAGAAGATGCAACATATTTATAAAGTTTTTCTAGAAGGGGTAAAAAAAGACAATGGAAAGACTAATATTTACAATTATAATTCAAGACAAATTCTGGAGATAAAAGTTCTGAGTTTACACATTGCATGGGTCTACCAAGTACCTGGCAAAACTTCTTCTAAACAATAAATTCTGAGAGATATCTTACTAAAACCATTAAATTTTAAATACGAAAGGGAAAAAAAGCCTTCAAGGACTTCAGGCAAAATATCAAATAATTTACAAGGGCAAACGAATTACACTTACGTCGGAATTCTTAAAAGCAATATTCAAAGCAAGGCAATAGTAGAGTAGGCTTTTCAAGAAACTTAAAGAAAGTAAAAACCAAGGATTTAATATCCAGATAACCTGTCCTTTCCACAACAAAGCTCTAGTAAAACAACTTTGAATATGTGAGATTCAGGGAGTTCTATACCCATGTGCGGGAGGCTGGTATGGAAGAGCTTTACGCAACCAAAAGATGACAGGAAACTGGCAAAGCTTTGTGGATATGAAGAAGAAAATAGAATGTAAACATTATGTGTTCTGATGATGAAGGAAAGATGCAACTTTAAAGTGAGAGAAAAGGGGAAAGGAGAATAAGATTATTGACTATTATGTAGGTAACAGGAAGGAGTCAAAGGATGCTACTTAACAATGACTGGCTAGATTTAAGGATTAGGCAAAAAAAAAAGTGAGATTAGGGTATTATAAAAGATATAAATACAAAGATAACCACTAAGATAAAAAGTAAACCTGAGCTAAATACAAGACGAAATTTTAAAACATCTACAACAAAGAAAAAAAATAACCCAGAGCTAAAGAAATAAAGTAATTTTAAATAAAGCACAGTAATGATATCAAAAACAATATGATAGGGTTGAGACCTAACATATCAATCATTTAGTAGAAGTGAATGGACTTAATTCTCATTTAAAAGAAAAAGATGTTTTAATAAAGCAAAACCCGGGGCCGGCCTGGTAGCCTAGTGGTTAATTTCGGCACGTTCTGCTTCGGGGGCCTGGGTTTGGTTCCCAGGCACAGACCTACACCACTTGTCAGTGGCCACGCTGTGCGGGCAACCCATGTGAAAAATAGAGGAAGACTGGCAACAGGTGTTAGCTTAGGGTGAATCTTCCTCAGCAAAAAAAAAAAAGCAAAACCCAAATGCTTTACTTTATACAAAGGAAAAACTACTGAAGCACAACATTTCAAAATATTAAAACTAAAAGGCAGGTAAGTGAAAATAATAAGAAAGCAGAGGTTGCAATTTTCCCTATATTGGAAAAAGTAGAATTAAGGCCGAAAGGCATCACATAAGATAGAGAAGGACACTTTATACTGCTAAAACCCTCATTTCATAATAAAGGCACAAGAGTTACAAATATCTATGCACCAAATAATACAGCAGCCACTCACACAAAACAGAACCATCAAAGATGCAAGGAGAAACAGATAGAAACACTCTTAATAGGATAGTTTAACACACTACTCTCAGTACAAGACAGGTCAAGTGTATTTAAAAAAATAAGTAAGAATAGAAAAGATCTAAATGATCAGATCTTATGGATACAAAACAAACTTATAAAGAGACTACATATTCTTCTGAAAACACGTGAAGCATTCTCAAAACCTGTTGATATATTGAGTCCAAAAAAAAGCATCGTTAGTCTCCATAAATAGAAATATTGCTGATCATGAGGCAATATAACTTGAAATTAAAAAGAAAATTCCAAAATAGGCCTGTCTACATATAAATTATAGTATGTTCCACTAAGTAAATTTTCAGTAAAAGGCTAAACACAAATATTATAGAATTTCTGAAAAATAATGATGAAATTGCTACATGTCAGAATCTATGGGATACTTTAAAAATAGATATCAGAGAAGAATTCATAGGCCTTAACACCTAAACCAATAAAAATAAATGAAAAGTACGTAAATTTCTAAACAAAAATCTAAAAATAACATCAACAAAAGAAAGCAACAGTAATGAAATAATAAAGATAAAAGAAAAAATTAACGTGGGAGAGTACCAAAAAACCCCATTGCATTAACAAATCAAAATCCTAATTTTTAAAAAAATCAACAACATAGGGAAATCACTAACTAATCAATAAGGGGAAGAAAAGAAAGTACATATATACAAGATAAAAATTACATAAAGAGGAATAAAAAGTAAAGACGAAGAAGATGTAACTATTCGTACAGAGAACATATTTTTAAAATACCATGAGATTTCTCTGCACTTTTCAATAAAAATCAATTGGAAAGTCTATATAAAAGGCTTAATTTCTTAGGAAAACATAAATTCCCAAAACGGACACCAGTACAGAGAGAATTTCCATAAAAGAAATAGAGAAAGTTGTTAAGAAACTACCATACACAAAAGCACCAGGCACGGGTTCTACCAGTCATTTCTACTAAAGTCCAGAACGAGACAAGGATGCTGTTCCCCTTGCAATTTAACATTGTACTATAATTAGGCAAAATTAAAAAATAAAAATAGAGGAATACTCCTTAGGAAAAAAAAGAAAGACAACTGCCTCTACAGTAACCTCCACGGCAGTATGTCTAGAAATTCTAGAGAACCATTGATAAAACTAATTCAATCAATAAAAGAATTCAGCAAGTTAGCAAAATATAAAATTATTATGCAAAAAATAGCTCCCATATCCACAAATAATAACCAGTTAGAATATATAATAGAAGAGAAAAACCTCATTTGCAATAGCAATAAAAATGTTAAAATGCTTATGAATAAGCTTAACATGAAACTATATAAAGAGAATTATTTAAAACTAGAATTCATGAAAGACACAAAAGTATACTTGAACAAATAAAAAGACATTCCTTGTTCTTAATTAGGACAGCTTATCATCAAGATGCAGTTGTTAATTTATAAATTCCATGCAATCACAAGAAAAACATCAGTAAACTTTTTTCTCAAGTTCGACAAGTTGAAAATAAAATTGATATGGAAGATTGAATATGGAAGAATAGCTAGGGAAACAAAAATAGAAGGGCTGGGGGAATGAGGATGAGGAGTCGATTCCTACCAAAAATTAGTACACCCTAAAAGCCTCTACAATTCAAATAGTGTAGTGCTGACACATTAATAGACAGACCAATGGAATAGAATATAAAGTCCAGAAATAAACATAACTATAGATAGAAATATAGTGTATGGTAAAGTAATAGCTCAAATCACCAGAGCAAACATGATGTTGGATCAATTGAATAGCCATTAAATTTTTTAAAAATGATAAATTAGATAAATACTATTCCATAGTCTAAGGAACTAGGCCTCCCTGGAAAAATTGTTTTCAACGCTAGTGCAAAAAAGGTACAAGACGGGCTTAGAACATCTTGTGCCAGAAAACTGACAAACGCTAAAAACATGATCTGGGCATGTCCGAGGGACACAGGGACCAACTGCAAGATGCTCACAGTGGGAAAGCTTGGAACAATTTTAGCATAAAAATAATTAAGGATAGTAGTGAATTATAAGCCTTCGAGAAATAGAAATGCCTGCATCCATACGTAAAGAGAAAGAGGTAGAATTGGAAACTCACCATATTTCAACTATCATACCAATGTTGATTTAGGAAAGAATTATCAACGGATGCTAAATCTAAGAGAAAATTTTGATAAGGAGCAGGATGTACAAATAGTCTTCATAAGCACATATTGTTATTGGTTTAAGGAAGAAAATAGCCATTGGAGATAGAGGGAAACATCTTTATCAGGTGATCAAAATTAACATCACCAATGATGGGCAGATGGATCATGTGTGCCTTGGATGTGATTCCCTGAAAACTAAGCAACAACACGTAGGTGGTATTGTGGCCAGAGATGCATAACTTGCACCTAATGCTGGGAAACATCAGGCAAAAAGAAATACCTGGCTTGTGTTCTTCAAAAATGTCAACTTCATAAAGGACAAAGAAAGATTCTGTCCCAGAGTAATGAAATCTCAAGAGAGCTGACTACCAAATGCAGTATGTGATTTCGTCCTGGATCTTGTACTAAATGAAAGAAATGTGGTAAAGAGGACAATTGACAAAAATTGAACATGGTTGGCAGATTAGATCCAAAGAATTGAATCAATGTTAAATGTCCTAAATTTGATAACTGTATTGCTGTTATGTAGGATACCCTTGCTCTTAGAATATGAACACTGATATATTAAGGAATAATGTAACGAGGTATGCAACCTACTCTCAAATGGTTCGGAAAATTTCTTTAAATGTTGTGTTCATATTTGTGGTGTGTGTGTGGTGGGAAGAAAGAGTGAGAAAGAGAAAGCAAATGTGGCAGAATGTTAGAAATTAGTGGATCTGGGTCAAGTGTACATGAGAGTTCTCTGTATAATTCTTACACCTTTTAAAATTATTTAAAGCTAAAAATTAAACATATAATTAATATGAATTGGAATATACTCATTTATACAACATCACTTGATTTATACTGTTAATACAGCTATTGATAATGAACTAAGGCAACCTCTTTTAGCTCTTATATTCTGAGACAGTTGAATACTCTGGTCTGGCAAAATGCCTCTGGAATTTTCTACTTGTGGCCCCTTGATGGTTTTTCCTCAAGGCAGTTTTTCTAAGACCTTGCTACCTCTAGTTGTAGAAAGAATGAGCAGAAGCTATTTACTCTGAATCCATGAAACTCTTAGAAAAAGGAAGTATATGTACATTTTCCACAATTATAGACAAATTTGTTCTTTCTTTATTGATGCTTCTCCAGATTCTGAAATCAGTTAGAAGCTTCTTAGCTCCAATAAAAAATTTAAATGTATTTAAGTTTTACATTGGAAAAAATACATAGTTTATGTCATGATTAATGGGTATTAAGGTACTAATTAATTTTTATAATTTTATATTTAAAACTAGACTTACTATGCAATGTTAAAAGCAGAATACAAAATTGCATTTTTCAGTGAGATCTCATTTGTAAAATATATATGCCTTCAGCAAAGAGATTTAAAAAATTACAACAAAAATGTACATATGGGGGTAGGCCCCATGGTGTAGTGGTTAAGTTTGGTGCATTCTGCTTCAGTGGCCTGGGTTCACAGGTTCAGATCCTAGGCACAGACCTACCCCACTCGTCAGCCACACTGTGGCGGCGACTCACATATAAAGTAGAGGAAGATTGGCACGGACGTCAACTCAGGGTGAATCTTCCTCAAGCAAAAAAAAACTAGGAAGATTGGCAACAGATGTTAGCTCAGGGCTAATCTCCCTCAGCAAAAAAATAAAAAAATAAAAATAAAGGAAAAAAATACATATGTGTAATTGTTAAGATTATGAATGATTTTAAAGATTTATTTCTTTATGCTTTTGTGAATTTCGTACAGTTTCTACAATACACTGTGCTATGGTCTAAATGTTTGTTTGTATCTTCTCAAAATTCGTATGCTGAAATCCTAATGCCCAATGTGAAGGTATTAGGAGGCAGGGCTTTTGGGAGATAATTAGGTCCTGAGGGCAGAACCCTCAAGAATGAGATTAAAGCCCTTATAAAATATGCCTGAGAGGGCTCCCTTGTCCCTTCCACCATGTGAGGATACAAGAAATCTGCAGCCCGGAAGAGGGACCTCACCCGATTGTGCTGGCACCCTGATCTCGGACTTCTAACCTCCAGAACTGTGAGAAATTAAATTTCTATTGTTTAAAGGCTACCCAGTCTGTGGTATTTTATCATAGCAGCCAAAACGGATTAAGACAATAGGTATAATTTTAATAATAAGAAAAATTTTAAATTATTAAATTAGTTTTAAATAGATCATACATTTCAATATTTATATATACTTGTGTTAAAAATAAAGGGAAAATATCCAACAGTTATTAACTAAAATAATTTTGACGTGAAATTCTGGAATTGCTGGTCTGGAAATGCTTACGAAAATATAAGATCCATTAGCAGATAATAACTTTAGACTGTATCGAAGCATATTCTTCAGCACAGATATTTTAACTCTGTTTCCATATATATGATTACATCTATGATTTTTTTTTAAAATCACATTGTTATATAATCCCTAACTTGATAATTATCTACAGAATTTTATACATTGTTATGAGCACTGGGTCAGCCAAGAAAAGTATTATAACCCGTGAAGGAACAAAGGAAGAAAATATTTGATATTGTCAACATGTTCCATCTCAAGGAAAAACATCATCTGAAAGGTAAGACTTAGAGGAGTCCAGATATAAATGAAGACGATGAGGGCAGCAGAGAGCTTACACTTTCAGCTGACAGCTGCTTTTCCGATTTCAGGAGAAGAACACTTTTGTCCACAGCCCGGAGCGCACAGAATGAGTCAGGGGCTGCTTGAAGACAGAGACCAATATCAGAGCCAGGTAGGCCCTGCTCCTTAGAGAACTTTATGCTAACCTGAAGTAGAGAAAGAAAAGGAATGAGAGTAAGATAATTTTATATGAAAATAATTTGAATGTATTCAAACTTTTCCAAATAAATCTTCATAGATTTCTGTGCCTATATTTCTCCTGCCCACTCTCACCCTCAACTCTCCTTCAGGAACAACTCCTTCAACATCCTATCATCCCTGGATTAGCATTGCTGCCAAAAGTTATTCATTCCATTTGGTGAATCTTTGATTCCCTAATAATTTAATTATACTGAAATTTCTTGTGAGATTACCGTGTAAAGGTTATAGTAGTCAGATAAGAAGGAGGTAACAGGGAGAAAACTGGTCACCCTTCTCAATTAGGACAGGCAAGACATAGAAGAAACCTCACCTTGTTTTTAAAGCACTTGTCAACCTGGAATCTGACACTGTCAGCCACAATTTCCCCGCTGGGGTGAATGGTGTAGACCAGCACAACAGCCACAGGAGCCAGATCAGCACTGATGTTGATAGGGAACGAGAAGTTTCCATTCCAGGCTGTGTAAATAGGAGATGTCATCAACAGATACAGTGACAAAAGTTTCCTGGCTCACTGGGTTCACTTAGATAAAAGAGAATGATATGAATAGAAAGAGCAAATTGGGCTTACTTTAAAGGTAAATAAATTAAATGATGAGAACTATATGTACAAATAAAGAAGATAGCATAATTTAGGCAATAACAGTATTTGGGTTTTGGACATCACTTTTCTATAATGTATTGATAACCTGGCAATAATAGAAACAGGTTGAAATCTCCTTCACCAAAATATTTAGTAGGTTATCCTGGGCCATGCTAACTATTGCCCTCCACAAATCATAATGTTAAGCACTCTTCCTAACTTCTTGACTCTATCACTGTAACATTTCCTTAAAAAGAAAGAAAAATGGAAGGAGAGTACATATTACAAAGTGCATGTATTATATACACCTTTGTTTCTGATTTCTTTTTGTCCACTGAGGAAGACAGCTCCTTTTACCATTATCTGTGCAGAACGAAAAAAACACAATAAGTGATGCTATATTATTTAACATGATATCATGTCATTATTACATAATGAATGATCTAACGATAATTCTATTCCATAAGATAAGGTAACTTCAAAAAACAAATATTAAAAATGGACTTTGCACAACTTGGAAAAGAACAGAGAAAGTGACTACAATTGATGGAGAGCCTATTATGTACTAGAAACTTGTTGAATAATATGCAATGCACTGTCCAAGGGGGTCCATAAAGCTCTAAAATTGTTTAGACAGTTTGGCTTTGAATAAGCCAAGTCATTTCACTTCTTTGCCTCTGTCCCTCTACTTGTAAATGGAGATATCCATGGGGCTGATTAATGAGTCAACACATATTTCTCACCCTAGGAGCTAAGTCTGATTATTTCCAATTACAAATATACAGCTGAGGAAGCTAAGGCTTAGAGAATTTAAACAATACGTCCAAGATAAACTAGCTTACATGATAAATGAGAGAGAAGAGGATTCTAATTAGGAGTCTTAAGTTACAAGTCTGTAGCTTTTCATCTTTCAATGTTGTGGGAGATCAAGTTTTGGTCACCCTGAAATCTATCTCTTTACCTTGATTGTTTTCTCTGAGGGACATTTGACCTCCCCCACTAACTGCCTAAAGAATTTGACATGGTGGTTCCTTCCTGGAACAGATCTTCTATCATGATGGCTGTAAAGATAACGTAGGATAAATGTTACAATAGGAAAGGCACCAAAAGCCCATCTTATCGGAAGTTCTGTGTCTCTGGCCACAATCTCTGGATGGCCCTGCAAGGAGTTGCCAGAGAAACATTTACATTTATAAGGGAAATCTCCATTTGTAAAGGTATCTCCCTCTCTGTTTTGGGAAGAGGGGGGGATGGCCTCATTTCTAGAGGCTTATCAATGTGGAAGGTGAGGCCTTAAATCTGCATAATAACCTTACTCTTGTTTACTGTGCTTTAGTGGTAATCTCCTGTAACTGACTCCCCCCACCCCCAAAATCCTCCTTTGTCATTGGCTGAACATGGTATTTAAGATGAGAATTTCTGCTATTGTGTTGAGAAACGCAGTGTCCCTGCTTTCTCCCATGTATACATGTTATTAAACTTGGTATTATTTTCTCCTGCTAACCTGTCTTGTTGATTATTTGGCCAGCCATAAGAACCTTAAGGAAAAGGGCAGAGGGAGAGTCTCTCTCTTCCCCAGACAATGTGCCTAATAGAGAAAAAATGGATAAATATGGGGACAGAACCAAAAGGGCTAAATCCTTTTATTGCTTATCAAAATCTGCTTTCCACTTTACTTCCTGGCATCTGCCTAATATTTTACTCCCACAAAGGGTCATAAATACTTGATATGGGTTACCATTGAATGCTTAAAATGGCAGATTCTGAATAGTAAGTTTGTTAACCTTAGGGAAACTGAAATTGCCTTGGATCATTTTATGTGTTTGTTTATTTGTTTTTGTGTTTGTTTTCAATGGATCCAATCGTATTCACCAGCAAAGTGAGAAGGTTGGCTCACTCAGATTAACATGGCATGACTGATGTACACATTTTAAGCTAGACTGTGCTAAGCAGACAATTAGACAAGATCCAAGAATCCACCAACTGAGACCTACCAAATAAAAGAAATTTATACTGGAATCATCCCCATATGCTTCACTGTTCAGCAAGTAATGCACAGTCACAATCTTCTGTTGATTGCATCCAAGCTGCTTTGGTTCAGGTACAATCTTCAGGAAGCTGTTGGTTCGGGAGTAAAAGCGTGGAACTGTGAAATAAGCATCCACATACTCAGGTGTCAACCAGCTGGGAAGATAACAGGTTTGAGGTCGAATATATGTGGCCTGATATGATAAAAGAAGGCAAAGGATTTTAGAGCTATAAAGACCTTCCAAGCACAGTAATTATCACAGAATGGAAGGCTTCTTATCTCTTCAAAGTAAAGGGGAATCTTAGCTTGTAGCTGACATTTCAACATTAAGTTATCGGAAGTAAAATAATAATAGCACTCTCCTCTTTTTGTATACAAAACATGACCATAATTGTATGTATATTTCATTAGGCCTACAATGAATTGTTTATTTTTACTTCGTAATTGAAGTCAGAAGGCCTTAGGCCTTGTGTCTTTCAGCTACATTTGAACACTGACAAATTAACTGCAAAATTCTGTTTAAGATGCAGAGAAAGAGAAATCATCATATCTCCCCTATCTATGCATGCAATTATCAACGGAAAAAAGCCAAATCATCTTCATGAGCTATTTCTAGTTTCTCAGAGGAAAATATTGTGTTAGAGAATTTATAACAATTATAATAGGCTATTATCTCATCCTCTCATATAAGTATTCTCATGTATTATTTAATGAACAGCAAACATATAAAATACTCTCAACTTTAAAACTTTGTTAAAATATATTCTCAATACAAGTTGTCTTTTAAGAGATTGCTAATGTTCAAAATTCCTGACATTCAAATCCTCTGTGGAATCACATCTGCTCTTTGATGTCTTACTTTCAGGTTGAGCTGTGGATCGAATATATCTGAAGTGTCAATGGAAAATTGAGCTTCACCGTTCTCATCTGTGGTGTAATTTCCTATAAGTTTGTCAGCAAGCTCCAATTGCAATAACTTGTTCACCATCGGTACATTATTAGGACCAGTAAATTTAAGCTGTCCAAAAACAAAAGAAGCATTAATTCTTAAAATACAAAATGTCACATTTCTACAGAGAAAGAATTTTCTATTCATAAATGTGATCATATATTTGGAATTTTCCTAAATTCCAAGAAGACAGAAAGATGTTCTATAAATAAATATATAATATGGAAACAGCTATAATTTTATCTATCACTTTCTTTCAACCTAGGACTTTTTCCAGTATATGAGATGCAGTAATGCTGCAAATGTGTTATGAAAGTCGGAAAAAAGTGTCCAGAAATTTTCAAAAGGCAATCTATGATCCAAGAAAATGAAATGAGAACATGTATTTTTTTAGCCAAACCTACAGTTCCAAAATAAGAAATTCCTCTTCTATAGAAAGGGTCCATGTTCTCAAAGTTCACACTCCCAAGCAATTGAGTGATAGAAATGGAAGTCTTTTCACTGATCTGCACACCTGTAAGAAAAGAAAAAACAGTGTCAGAGAGGATGAATCATTTGATCAAGAATTTCAAAAGAACAAACAGCTTAGGGTACATGTGCAAACTTCTATACACAGAATTATATTCTTGTCCTACATTGAAAGGGACATATGGGTGCTTTGGAGCATGTTCCAGATTACTCTGTATGAATGTGGTTATAGTATACATCAAACTGAATAATATAATTAATATGAAAATATTTGCATCAGAAGCAAGAAAAAGCGTTCTTAATTTCCTTCCTCTTCCCATTCTACTCAGTTCTGGCTTGTAACTTTCTTTATGACCAAGAATGTGATAGACATCTCAAGAAGAAGGCTTTCACTTCCTGAAACCTTTCTTTAGCCTGCAAGATACCTATGTTTTTAGACTTTTACCAGATTTGAAAAATATCTGATATCAAAACAAATAGAAATGCATTGTGATATCAACAAAGCATGTAATAAGCAGAGGCAAACACATCTAGCTAAGTACCAACATAAATGTGACAAACTTATCTATTATGAATGCCATCACAATATTGATCAATATATTTATATAAAATACTTTATAAATAGTATTATCCTAATCATTTTTAAGTAACAAGAAATAGTTAGTAATTGAATCTGGTTTTCCCCATCCCAAGTTAAATTTCACTTTCCTCTTTTTCATTCTTTTAACAAATATTTATTGAGCACTCACTGTGTGCAATCTTGTAAATTTCTCACTAATAATATTTGTACTTGTAAATGTCCCAGGTTGTATTAAATCAGAGGTTGACACAATTCTTCTGTAAAGGATCTGATCGCTATTATTCTAAGCTTGTGGACCACACGGTCTCTGGCCCAATTACTCACGCTTGTTGTTGTAGCTCTTAAGCAAGGTAAACGAATGTGGTTGTGTTCCAATAAAACATTATTTACACAAATAGGCAGGGAGCGGGATTTGACCTTCTAGCTATAGTTTGTGAATTCTTGTATTAAATCAAATACTAGACCCTGGCAATTGATTATCAACTGATATACATAAAGTTAAAAAGAAATACCTAACTTATTGGTTTGGTCTACTAATTCAGAGGGAAGATCCTCTGTCTGATTAATGCAAGCACAAAAGCATAAACATGTAGCATTTACATAACAATTTTATTTTAAATATTATTAGGAAAATCTTATTCAAAAGCAACCCTCATGTTGACCTATTGGCAAATGTACTCCACTTTATCGTCTTGAGCAATTTCTGATATGTAGTTAGCGAGTATTGCTAACTTCTCCCCAGTGAGCTGCATATATCCCCAGGCTGTGCATAAAACACCATCATTACCTGTCCCGAATTCCGTAACAGTTACAGTGACATAAAATGACATGAAAAGTCCAGAACGGTAGAGTTGGAAGACTTTTGTATTTACAATTTGAGAAACACAACCATTAGTCAACTGAAAAACAAAGGGAAGGTATAACAAAAAAAAGTTAGGGATTCAAGTCTTAAAAGAATATGGAGTTTTAGCACAGATATATAACTTCCCCCCACCACCCAATGGCTCCATCTCACAAACTTGTTGAAATTACTAAAGAATTACAAAGGAAAAGGAGGGGGAGTTTTCCTCAGCAATTAAAACAAGGTAAGGAGGGAATGCATACTTTACAAATTTCAGGGATATTCTCCAGGAAACAATGTAGATGGGAACAAACTAAAGGATGAAAATGGAACTGAATGATAGTTTAAGAATAAGAAATTATCTTCAGAGGCACTAAGACCGATGGAACAGAAGCACTCTTCAAATGTGTAACACTGAAACACTTTTTAAGGAAAATTGTTCATTCAAAATAAGGAAAAGTCTATAGATTATGTTTCATTGGTGATGTCAGTAATTAGAGATATATAGATTTAGTTATATTTTAAAATAAAAAGTGTTTATTAATTCCAAATTTAAAATGTTAGAGGGATATATCCGTTCATTTGTTCCTCAAAACTACCATATGAGGGGCCGGCCCAGTAGCGTAGTGGTTAAATTTGCGAGCTCCACTTTGGCAGCCTGGGGTTCGCAGGTTTGGATCCTGGGCATGGAACTACACTCTGCTCATCAAGCTATGCTGTGGCGGCATCCCATATACAAAGTAGAGGAAGATTGGCACAGATTTTAGCTCAGGGACAATCTTTCTTAAGCAAAAAGAAGAAGATGGGCAACAGATGTTAGCACAGGGCAGATCTTCCTCACCAAAAAAAAAAAAACTACCATATGAGCTACACATTATCATTATCTCCATTATATGAATGAATAAACTGAAGCACAGGTAGGTTCCATAATCTGCCCAAGGTCACACAGGTAGAAGGTGGTGTAGATAACTAGGCATTCTGGTTCCAGAGTATATGCTCCTCTGAATTATCAACTATACTAACGAAAATGACAAAAAAGGTAATTTTACTTTGTCTAATTATAACACAATCAAATTAAAGTGAGATAATAAAAAGTAATCAGAAGAACCTTAACTGCTTTGAAATTAAGAGAAAAACATTTTTCAGTAATCCTCGAGTCAACGAGAAAATATGAGGTAAGTCAATAAGAATCTAAATATTAGTGTCAATGAAAAAATGCTTTGCATCAAAATCTATGGTGTTAAGCCCTGGTTAAAGGAAAATGTACAACACTGAATGTGTTTTTAACAAAAAGAAGCAACTAACATATTTTTTAAAACCAACAAAATTACCTAAATTTTAGGGAAAAGAATTAATAAGATGAAAACTAAAACAAATTTTTAGGAACACAAAAGTAATATTAGAAAGAAAACAATAAAACAAAAGTCAGAGTAAGGGTAATAAAATAGATGAAACTTTTATGAGCATGATTTAGAATAAAGAGAGAGAAAGCAATATTGTACAAGATTAGGTGCTAACACAACTGAACGTCCATCTGGAAGAAAACAAAATTCCTTATTTTAGAACATAATCAAAAACATTTTATGTTGATTAGAGAATTTTTAAAAATCTTAAAAGCATAGTTAGATAGCTACATATACAACACAGTGCCAGCTGAGTGCTTTTTCTAAGGCTAAGAACCCATATACATTAGGAACTTTATTATTCCAAAAATACCACAAAGTCAATATTTAAGTAACATATTTGTAAAAAAAATTTGTTTAGAGGAGAGAGGGTAATATTTATAATAAAAGAAAGTTCCAATTTCACATGAACAAGAAAAACTGCGTTAATCGAGTTCTCAAAAGAAAAAACCCAAATTGATAACTAAAATATGACAATATGCTGAAACTCACTAATAATGCAAATTGAAACAAAATAAATTTGCATCAATTGAAATGGCAAAAATTTTAAACTCCTATATATATTGCTGGCAGTAATTTGGGAAATACAGTATTCTCATATATTGCTGACGGAAATTTGAATGTTTAAAATTTTTTTGGACAACAATATGCTAATATTTTCTAAATTAAAATGATTTATGATTCTATCTATCTATCTATCTGTCTACTTTGCTTCAGAAAACCCACTCAAAGGAATCTATTTCGTTTAAATAAAACCTATATAAAGATACTTTCAGCAGATTGTTTATTTTTTTACACTGGGGAAATCAATAAAACATTAGCTGAATGAACACCCATCACTTGGTAAAATGGTTAACTAAATTACATTATAACCACACCACGGGATAATGTACTGCTGATGTGGAAGAATTCCACTTAACCTTTCTTAGCCTGCAATTCCTATCTATAAGACAGGTTTTTGCCCATCTTTACCAAATATTGATATTTACCTAAAGGATATTCACCAAATTTGGTGGTGAATAACTTCAGTACAATCAGACTTAAAATATAAACTGTGTGGTGTATACAAATTTCACTTTTAATTCCAAAGACGATCCTCAAAGAGCTAGGCAGAGCTGTTCACTTAAGGTTAAGATGCTACAGATCAAGAAAGCAAATGGTGGCTTCAAAAATAAACTTCAAATCTAAACAAAAGTAAATTGCAGATGTTTTCATGAACTTCTTTCATAAGGACAATTCTAGGTTGTATGGTGAGCACTATTAGGGATTCATTTATTTAAAGGATGATTAATGATTCTCCAAAGAAAGGTCGGGGAGGTCACCTAGACAGTATATGAAACGAGGAAGTCAATAAGATCTTTCAAATTCTAAAAATTCTATGACCATATAGGTAAAAAACAATTTACGTGGCCTAGAGGACAAGAGACTGTTGTTAAACGTTGTATTTTCTCCTCATTCTTCACCTTATCTAGCTGTAATCTCCATTATCCACAAAATGAAAATAGTAAGTCCCTTTTATAAATGGAACCAAAGAGAAAATAATAATGAAAATGAACAAGACTTTTTTTTTGGAGTAAAGATCGTGATCCATACCTGTGCAATAAATTGTTCACATATTTCATTGTTGTCATTCTCACAATTCCTAGAGGAAGAAAATTCTCTGCACACTCGGATTTGGGCTTTCCCTTGCACAGGTTGGCCATAGGTGTACCTAGGGGGAGAAGGTGTACTGGTAATTACAGATGAACAACATCATGGTAATATTTTATGGTCTTCTTCAGAAATTATGTATGAAATCTCTAAACTATGACTATCCCAATGACCAAATTCAATTAGGAATCATCATCTATTGGTGCTGTCTTCCCCACAGAATTTAAGTTAAATTAGGCATTTGATCTATTAGAAGGATTCAGCTCCTTTTTTAAAAGTCAAATTCAAGGTAATGTAGAATCTAAAATCTCAGTGAATAGGAGTTAATGATTAAATTGAGTTTTTAAAATTATATGTAATCTGATAGAAATATTATAAAAATTATTTGCAGGGCTTTTCTCCTTTAGCAGAAAATATATAGGTATATAAATAAAACTTGGATTATTCAGGACCTTGAAGTACTTCTAGATTAATGTTTTAAACAAAAATCTTGTTTTACTTCTCAATAAATATAAAAGGTATGGAGATTGGCATAAGCCTGACATGCTTTGACCAAAAGTATAATGTCTAATGGGGTGGGGTTAAATAAATATCTCATTTTCTCCTAAAACACAAAAAAACCACAAGTTTTTAAAAGTTTCAATCAAAGGCAAACAAAGTTGATTTGAATTTTTTCGTTATTTGAGGACTCCTTCCACTAAGACTTAGAAAGACAGATAACAAATGTGAAATTAGTATATAGTAAAACTGAATATAGTTAAATTTATTGATTATAATACATTTTTTCTAATTGTTGGACATAAGTATATATCCAGTGTTTACATACATTATCTCATTTATTTTTCCCAGTGACCATGAGATGTAGGTATGTTATCTCATTTTACAGATTAGTAAACTGAGATCAATTAACTCACTTCTCCACTTTCTAACTGATGGAACTGAAATTCAAACTCAGATCTTCCTCACTCCATAGTCCATGCTGTTTCCACTCAACTAGTGTCTCTATTTGAAAATTCTTAATGCTTCTGAGATTTTGACTCAACTCAAAACACTAAATCATTGGTCAGCTCTAAAAATCAATTACATGTAAAATAGAGGCAAGACTAAGATAAGGCCACAAATGTTATAACTGAACATATTATCTTATTGCTTCTTCTTACTGTCTTTTATTCACAAAATAAAACTCTTATCGTAGTATTATCTGCAGGTTAACATATGTTTGTGAAATACGTAGCTTAAATTTTCATACAGGTCAGAATAAACATTCTCCATTCGTTTGTGACTTGAAAAGCTTTTGTGGCTACTAATGCAGTTTATTAAAATGTCTTTGCCTGTAGGCCAGTTTTCTTCCCTCTTAAAAGCTTAATTCATCTCTGAGGTAGATTGCTAAAATAATCTAACTTGCTGCTGTTTTCTCTAGGTGTTCCAAGCTAAGTCCCAGGGAATATTAAAGAAACAATGCACAGGGCCGGCCCCGTGGCTTAGCGGTTAAGTGCGTGCGCTCCGCTGCCGGCGCCCCGGGTTCGGATCCCGGGTGCGCACCGAGGCACCACTCCTCCAGCCATGCTGGGGCCGTGTCCCACATGCAGCAACTAGAAGGATGTGCAGCTATGACAGACAACTATGTACTGGGGCTTTGGGGGAAAAATAAAATAAATAAAATCTTTAAAAAAAAAAAAAAGAAACAATGCACAGACACAGTATTATACAACTTGAGGTAGGCAGTTCATTCATCGATGTTAACTTCTAGACATACTGATTTCATTCATTGTGTTCTCATGGCCGGCCCAGAAATAACCAGCTAGGGAGCATAGCTCCTGTCTCAACCGCATGGTCCTGTTGCAGAATATTATTATTGCTGATATTGAGATACTATTTGATGTCAAATCTAAGTAGAATATAACGTTAAAGATGTTTCAAGAAGTCCCAATATCATATCAGCATTTAGCTTAGCCAGTCTTTTATGAAGGTGATACTTGATAAATATTTTGTTTTTCCTATATATGTATTGGACTTTTTTGGCATACCATTGGGCAGGATACCATTGGGCAGATGTTAATCCCACAGACGATTTTGGCTTTGTGTAGGGTTTTTCTAGTGAAGCCAGTTTAGGATTCTGGATTTCTTCAAGCTTATATTGATTCTCCCATTATTTTTAACACAGACAATTTACAATCTCTCTTGTATTATATTTACGAAATTGTGGCATTCAGCTATTCTTCGTTGAAACTCAGAAAAATATTACTATTATTTTCCTAGAGTCCAAAGAACATTTTAACTACTATCAAAAAAAAAGAAGACTAAAAACTGTTTTCCAAGATTCTTTGTAGCATCCTCAAGCACTACCCACGCATGTTTATTTAACGGCCCTCTACCCAATGTATCTTTAATATCCTGCTGAAAATATTCAAAGCAAGTAATTTTCATATCATAAATTAAATAAACGGTGTTTAACAAATATGCCAATATTAATATTTTTAATTGTTTATATAAACAGAGGTCTTGGTTAGGAGAGTAGCTCTGAAGCCAAGTAGCCTAGGTTTAAATCCTAGTTCTGCCATCAGAAAGCTCCATTAATGTTGATAAGATATTTCAATACTCTGTGTCTTATTATTTTTCTTTGTAAAATAGAGATGATAATAGCTCCTATCTCATAGCATTGTGGTGAGAATATAATAAATGTAATGCTTAGCACAGTAATTGGCACGCAATAAATATTAGCTATTTTTTTTTATTATTAGAGATTTGAGAAAAGGCATCACACTTTAAAAAAAAGATAAAAAACATTAGAAATAATTTCCCAAAAAGAAAATCAAAATTTCTCAAATCATGTAGGAATTTTTTTACATTAAAGAGGATTCAGATTAATTCAAATTAAATTAATAAAATGCCTTTTTTTCCCACTACAACATTCTCAAAAGTTTCTTTTCTTTCTTTCATTTTTTTTTTTTAATGAAAACACCCAATGATGGTGAAGATTCAATGAGGCAGGTACTCTTGTACCAGCTGCTGAAATAGTACATTGGCACAACATATTTAGTGAGCAATTTGGCAATCAAAAGACTAAAAGAGTGTTACACATTCTGTCTAATTTGGTAATTTCAGTTTTGGAAATCTTTCTTACGTAAATAATTTTTAATTCAAAATCTACTTCTTATACACTTATACACAAAGACATAGACTGTAATATTATTTATTACTGGGAAAATAAAGTAGAACAGCCTACACGTTATATAGTAAAAGAATCATTAAGTGAATGTGGTATAGCCTCATAGAGATATGTCTATGCAGCAAGCAATCGGAATTCATGAACAGATTGGCATAATATGGAGACGTGTTTTCTTAATTATAGTGGGTAGAAAAGTATGATTGCAGTTGTAGAAAATATTCATAAAAGATTAGAGGAAAATAAATCACAATGTTAATGGCAGTTGGTATAATTAATTATAGGTAATTTCTTATGTTTTTCTTTATATTTTTCAAATATTCTACAATGAGAATTCATTACTTCTCTAATAATTTTACTGTAAGCGTATAAATAATTAAAGTTACATGGTTAATCTCGTTTCTGATTCTGTCTCTGAGCCTTGTATTAACCTGTGGAGTCAAATCTCCTGAATAAATACTTACTCAGCACATGCATCCACTTGAAATTCATCATCTGAAATAGTTACTGTTTGTGGCGCACTGACCTTAACTTCAAACTTCGGCAACACTGGAAACAAAGAGAAATATATTTCAGGCCCCACAATGACCGGTAAGCAAAACTTTTTGCCATCATGTAACTAAATATGCTTCCATGCACATTTTCCTATGCGTGCTTCTGTATAGACTGCTTTTCAATTGCCCCAGATTCTGTGGGGCACCAGTGAGTGATGATGTCTCATTAATGAGTAATTATTCCCCTTTCTTTTCTCTTCCCTATTCTCAGAACTTCATATTTTATTTATTGTAATCCTTTAGATTCTTCCTAGAAGATTGTCTGGATTCTAGAAAACAAGATATTTTCTAGGGAGAAAAGGCAGGTGTCAGAATAAGGATACAGGGTAAGGAGTGAGGAGCAAGAAAGGAGAGACGATAAAGCAGAAAAGGCCGAGAAAGGAAGCTGGCAGAAAACCAAATCAAGCTTCACCTACTTTTGCCTAATTCTAACATAAGGCTGTTTTGTAGTCCTTTGAACTCTTCATTTATATAGGACAGCCATAAGTAGCAGTTGGTTACCATATCTATCAACAGTAAATTGGTGTGTCACCATCTTTCCTGATTTTCTTTTCACAACAAAAGAGTAATCTCCAAACATTGGTTCTGAAATCAACTGGAACGAGAGTTGGGTAATATTTTGAAAAGAAGTCACATTTTGCCATTGAAAAATCCTATTGTCTTGAGGATCCTAGAAAATAAAGAAGAAATAAAAACAGACGTCATATGAGAGTATTATCCTTTCCTTCCCTATTTTGGGTACTTTCTGTAGTTATTGGAGGTAAAAAAGCTCTACCATTTTATCGAAATAACATTTCAAATTGTAAAAACTACATAACTTCCTCAGGTGTTCAAATTTAACCTTAAGGTGTATCTCTCTTAAGCCCAAAAAGGATAAGAAAAAACAATCTATAACTAATGCTTTTGATCTTTCTGAACCAGAGCTGCATATAGAATTTAAACTCAATGTTCACACTCCAGAGTAGTGCTCTCCAAAGTAGAGTGGACCCATAGCAACAGGTGCACAAGGAGATATTTATCCTAACACATGCTTATAAAGATTGTCACTGGTACTGACATTAGGTAAATAAACATCTGTAAAATAAACATTTGGGCTGTAAGTAAGTTAGTCGTGAGTTACACACTGCGTGCAAGAGCTGTTAAGTGGAAGTTCTACAATGAAAAAGGATTGGTAATGCCACCCTTTCTCATTTATTTGCTTTTAGCATATTTCAGCTTATATGAGTCTGGATCAATAAATTTACTGATATCTTCCAGTTGTGATTAAAGAAATCTTCATAAAAAGTTTTCTACAAAGAACCAAAAACTTTATTCACTACTGACTTGATTTTTTTTGTTTTCCTCTACAATAAAGTCTACAAAGCTAAATTAATTTTCTAGATTTCCTTTAAGTAAGGATAGCCCATGTTACCAAGTTCTGGCCAATTAAATTTAAGCATAAGTACTGGGTAGAAATTCTTTCTAAAAGAATCAGACTTAGCTAGCATTGAAAACAAAACAACACATTGAAGATAGCAGGGAGGTTAAGTAGAAGAAGCCTGGGTCCTTGGTAACGTTATGCTGTTATTGTCCTAACTCTGAAGTACTTACACTCACATGTAGTGGTTTGTGAAAACAATAAACCTTTTACTCATTTAAACCAATGTTAGTTAAGCTTTCTGTTGCTTTCAGTGAAACACAGCACTAACTGAATTACAAAGTGAAGATAACCCTACTTATGGATTACTAATAATGCAGAAAATATGAAAATGGTTGACCTGCTATTTATCCCGCTAGAAAGATGAGCTATTTGTCACTCATATAACAAAGTAAAAAACATTCAAATTATGAAGACTATTTGAAGTATGTATTTACACACATAATCATTAATGATGAACCTATATCTCAGTGTATTAACCTTTAGAATTAGTTAATAATAACGGTACATATTGTATGTAAAGATTAAAATACATAAGTTGGAGTTGACTGATACAAATTATTTAGTGACAGGCATAAGATTTCAAATAAATTTGAAAGCCCCTACACTACACTAGAGATTTTAACTGGTAGAAGGAGACTCTAGTAACTATTTTCTGAAAACAAAGAGTCTATTTTATAATAGTATCACCTTCTAGCTTCTTTCTAAATTTTTAGGTGTTTTATGTTTTCTGTTTCCTTAAGATGTGGCTAAATTACCATTGAGAAGGACCAGCAGCCCAAAATAAGCAATTTTAAACATAAACCTTCCTTAGAAAGAGCACAATCTTTATTTTCCATGAAAAACCTATGTGACTGCCTTTGCCACAGAGCACACTTCAAGTGGCAGCCCTTTATTTAGATTTTCATCTGATGCCTTTCCTTGTGTGTGCATATAAAGATTTCTCTTTCCCTTATTTCAGATATCTTAATTTCTGACTATGCATAATGAAAACTAGACACACATCACTGTTTATCTGAATATTTAAAATAATGGGTGTGAAAAAGCAGATCTCTTACCTGAAGTGTGATCAAAGGAAACTGAAAAGGGAAAAAATGCAGGTTAATTTTGTAATAATGTGTTCTTTGTATTCTTTGCAGATATTTCATTACAAAATTATATGACTTTTTAAGTGTTGAGACTTAGCCCTTTCTTTCCCAGAGGACAAAATTTCTGTAGCTAAAGATGCCAAGAAAACCCCAAATGTCAAAGAGATCCCAAACCTCTTCTGGGAAGTGGAAAGCAGGTTCCATGCAACCCATTTTTTCTTTATATGATGAAAAGATCCAAAGATGGATAAATCAACTCACTATAAAGGAAAGTTTTATGTTTAAATTTGATGTTTAGCATTGAAACTATACTTATATGGTATTCCTTGTTGGAACCTATCTGCATACTTATGGAAAGCTTCCTGATGACACTTTATGTAGCAATGGATTTGTTTAATTTGTTTAAATTTCATTGTACCATTAGAAATTATTGAACTCACCAGATCCTCAATAGGTATGAACTTGGTATCCAGTGTCACAATGCGAACTCGAACTAAAAAAGAGAAAGAGAGGACAATATTTTTTTTCTTATTTCTCTCTCAGGTATGATTTCTTGTAAAAAGACATAGAAATTAATTGCTTTGCTCTTATAGAATATTGCACTCCCTTCTCCCCTCTCTGATTTGACCTTTTGAGATCTGGGTTCCATTTGGAAACATCTCTTATTGCCTATCTGTAGTTTCCTTTGTTGACGATGCTCTGTTGTTACCAAACCTAACATTAGCTGATGCCACCACCAGAAACTTTTACCCTAACAAGCCCATAGAGCTATCTTAAAAATTGGTGAAAGAATTAGTCATAGAAAGACAAATGTGGAACATGTATGATAGGAGTCAAAAATAATTTTCCTGGAAAAATATATTGATGTTTTAAACATTAAATTAATTTTAGCAGATTTCCAGAAAAAACATTTTAGCTACTTTTGTATACATACTTGTCATCACAGCATTTTAATAAGTCTAGAAGAGATGATATAATGCAGCAAAAACTCACTATATGAATTGTTTTGATTCTTTTCAATAAATCATACAAATATATAATATTAGAACAAATGTATAGATGCTTCCCTCCAACTCTCTAATTTTACAAATGAAAAAACCAAAGATCTCAAAGAACATAATTTACTTGGCAAAGCTGATAATGTATTAACAGAGCCAAGACAAAAACCATACCCTTCTGAATCCTAGTTTGGTGTTCTTTCTGCTACCTTCTACTTACAACAATAATAAAGAAAATAGAAGGGCTCTGCTTAGGTTATCAGATTTATGATTACTTCTATTGGTATTAATAATAATAATAATGATAATAAATATCATTTTTGGAGTCCTTACTGTGTGCTGGGTACTGTTTTACATTGACTATCTTATTTTATTCTCACAATGTTTCTTCAAGTGAGACACTTATTATCTCCATTCTACGGATGAAGAAACTGAGTCTAAATAGAAGTTTTATTAGCTTGCCCAACTGGTAAATTATGGAGCAACAATTCAAAACAAATAATTTTGCTCCATATCCCATGCTTATAACCATTGTATAATGTAAGCCTGTCACTAAAATTCATAAACTGTGAAAGTGGCATGCAAAATTTTAAAAAGCAACACATTCAATTACTGGACTTAGAGGGCACTATTTCATAATTGACCTAGACAGTCAGTAAAAATTCTAGAAATCCATGATGCCATAATAGTAAGAATATATTTAAGACTAAAATTGATGTGTTTGGATTGCTTTAAATTTGAAGACTGTGTTCCTAAGGTCAACAAACGATACAAAGGAAACATGAATATTGACTTACCTTTCTCTCCAGGTTTATAGATGGGTTTATCTGTCTGCACAAAGGTTACCGTCTCTTCTGAAGTAAGTGCTACAGATCTCCTCTCATAAATTTTAAGAGTATCTCCCTTAGCCAACAATGTCACAAAAGCCAACTGTTCCGAGGACTTCTGAGAAACCTGTTTATGTTAAAGAACAGAGGATGGGAAAATTATTTTTAGGCATTAAGATTGTAAATAATCTCTTAATTTGGCTTCTCAGGCTGAGAGCCTTGTAATCCCCTTATTTCTTTACAAGAGACTTAGTGATCACTTATTACAATTCCTTTATTTAGCAGGAAGACCGTTTCTAATAAACTTATTTTTATGTCTTCTTGCCTTCTATTTTCTTTTTTGGTTGCCCTGAGTTCCAATCCTGCAACCCTTTACCTAGATTCTCTGTCCTCATATTGTTAAACAGTTCTACTACCTAAAACACAGTACCTATGTCCTATCATCACTCCATATAATGAAGTGGCAATATTTCACAAGTTTTGTTGCATATGTAAAATTTCCTTTTATTTCTTGCCTCTGAGGAATTCTCCAATTTTCCTCCCTAGCTTCCACAATTCATCCAAAATCAAGATTTGTTATCTCTCTAAAGATAATTTTTGAGTAATAATTTTATCTTCTCATCTTAAGCTCTGAAATGGCAAATTCATTACCTCACCTTGAAATTTGCACAAGCATAGAAGTTATCCTCTTCCACTGACTGGTCAAAAATGGTGGTATTGAATCCATCATATTCTAAGACAACGCTCAAGGATAGAGATTCATTAAGATTTATAAGGTGGAGACAAGCCTTTTCTGTAGAATGACTCTGTATCACAGAGGAGATCCATAGGATATATTGCCTATGCAAAGAAAGTAACCAACACTCTAAACAAGTGTAGCAGAAATACAGAGCATGCATAAAAAGCAATTTTAGCTTATTGAGATATTCCTGAAACATACACATTTTTCATAGACAGTATTACAATAAACGAGTATGTGGAGAGAGATATCTTAAGAAAAAGGTGTCAATTCCCTTCACACACTTGTTTAAAATGTATAATGCAAGCCAGCAGTCTCAGAAGTTAAAATGGTAAAATATAATCAAATTTTAACACAGGACGTATTTAATAAGGTCACTTTGCTAGTACTTTAATATTAATAGAGAGTATAATATTCTCTTACGGTTTTGAAGCCACAGCAACAGTAAAATGAAGCAAAAAGGTGCTCAGAAAAATGGTGGGCACCATTTTATCCAATGCCTGAACAATAAAGACTTCAAGATAAATAGTCTTTCTCTCTCTGTCTCTCTGTCTCCGTCCCGGTCTCTCTCTCTCTTATTCAAAATCAGCTGCCTCAACACTCCATTTTCTTTGCTTCCTTCCACTCTGCCTCTCTCTGTATATTGTTGCTTTTATAGTCACACACAATGAAGGATCAACTACTTTTTGGAGCAAGTATCATGGGGCCACCAATCACATTTAGATAATCTCTTCCATTACTTCCCCTGGGGTGCCACTTTACATACAGCTTCCTTCCTAAGTTCACTGGATGCTGCTGTTTTTAGAATCAGCATGACAGGTTGGACAGGAAGAAAGACAAAAACAAAGAAAGCAGTTGTGTAACCCTTAGGAGTTTATCAGTCTAATTTATTACCTCACTCACAGGGCTGACCTCAGTATCAAAAGCATTAATACATAGGAATTAGCAGTTGGAAGAAAAATACCTCTCCAAAGAGCTATCATTCCAATTCCCAAGGTAAATTTTCCAGGCTTCTGAGAGAAGTAGCATATCTGATGTTGCTAAAACTCAGATGCAAAAATAAAAAAATCTCAACATGAGCTCATTTTAAATATAATTGAAACTAAGGTATTCTTTTATAATTTCATACAGAATATAACATTTAAAATGTTGGTATGTGTTCAACGTTTACTATTATATTCTTAGTGAGGTTTCTTCACAATGTTCAATATCCTTTTTGACACTAAATATAACAAGAAAAAATGAAAGAAAAGGTAATAAATGTGTGAGTGTATACTCATACTAGTCACTTCTTGGCAAAAAAAAAAAAAAAAAGCTTTACTATCATTTTGATTGCAAAACACTTCTACAAGGAAAATGATCCATACCTAAGAAATGGGTAATCTCTTGGCAGTCTCCAGTGTGTTAATTCTCCCATTTGTCTTGTTTTTTGTGTTTTTTTGGTCTTTTTAACCTCCTTTCCATTTCAAGTATTGATGAAGTTAACAAGTCTGGCTTGAAAAATGTTACATTGGGCAATGAAAGACAGGAATTGGTTTCAGTCTTCTAGAAATAGGCTTGCAACATTGCAACAGCGTGTACAAAGGAAAGGACAACAAAACCAACTATAATAGATGAGGAGGTGTAACGGAAGTAGGAAAATACAGGCGGCTATGAGGCCCAGGGAGTGTGAGAACAAGGATTCCTTGTTGACCACATTTCGTATTGCAGTGCAGAATTGTGTTCATGAGAACTCTGACCATGGTGTTCTCTCAGTAGAATTGAGACATTGCTCATTCCCCATTCCTATATTTAGGACTTTTGTTTCCACCTCCTCTAAGCCTGCATTGGAGGCCAATTCTCTTAAAATCTCTGGTACAGAGCTAATCCTCAATTGTTGACCTGCCCACTCAGTTTTATGATTTAATTTCTTTCCTTTGGAATCTCAAGTTGGTAGTCTCTATTTTTGACTAATACTCATTCCTCTGATAGCCCCTCAGGCTTATTATTAGAAACGCTCTCTACTCTCCACTTTCTATACTCATAAGATAAATGAAATCACTAGCTTCCAAAACAACTGAAGCTCACCAGCTTTCACTCATCAGCGTTCAAGGCAAACAGCACCAAAAGGCAGATTGTTCATAAAATCAAAGCAATTGATTCTTTATTCCCAAGGCCAATAAACCTAAAGTAAAGAAACTTCTCTAAAATATTTGCATTTTCCAAATGTAAAATTTTATGCTGAATAAAGGACTCTATTTGCCTTAACTTTAATCAAGGCAATTTACTGTTAACAAAAATATACGTTATGCACTAATCTTTTAAATCATCTCGGAAACTAGCATGTTTTCATGATATCTCTTCCCCTAAATATTTTAGTTGACTAACATACCCCCAAATAATTTTATCTGATTTACATAGTCTTCAGATTAACGGGCTGTTATCCCAGAACATTCAGATATGAATCTAACAATATCCATTGAGTACTTGCTATGTATCGGCATTAGTTCTAGGTTCTAGAGATAAGAAGATGAATAAGACACAATTCTCTAAAGAAGTTTACCTTTTAGTAGACAGGGAAGAAAGGAGGGGAGGAAGAAAGAAATGAAGGAAGGAAGGAAGGTAGGTAGGAAGGAAGAAAGGAAGGAAGAGAGGAAAGGAGGTATGGAAGATGGGAGAAAGGGAGGAAGAAAGAGAGTGAAGATGAAGGAAAGGAGGAACTGCAGAAGAAGGAGGATATTTACTGAATACTTAATATGTAGCAGGCAGTGTGCTAGGTGCTGATATTGACAATATCTCATTTAAGCCTCAGAAAATACAATTTTAAATGTATTATTTATTCTCATTTTATAGACAAGAAAAACACAGTATCAGAAAAAGTCATTAATTTTTATAGGATCAGCCAGGCAGTAAGTCGTTAGGAAGAATTTCTTTTAACAATCATAAATTAAATAAGATCAAGGGGTATAGTCATATGTATGAATACAGAAGGACATGGATTAATGTACTATGTTCTAAATTCTCAATAGGTTTCTGCTGAGCAAGGGGATATATAACAGAAAATAGATATTACATCATCATCACTAGACAGATTCAATACTATCTAGCTTACTGGTGTTCACTGCTATGGAAATACCTCTACTCACTCATTCATTCCGTACATATTTATTAAGTACCTACTATCTGCTAGAAGTATGGTAAATTGTGGAGATGAAGAGATAAATATCAGTTGTTGGAGTTATCATTCTTTCAGGAAATGTAGAGGCTAAATAATTACTTTCCCAATTAATTATTTCATCAATTTCATGATAAGTGTTATAGAGGAGAAAGAACTATAGGGCTCCATGAGAATGTATGTTGCAGGGGACTTAGTACTGGACCAGGTCCTGGTGATAAACAGAAGAGTAAGACCACTTCTTTCCCTACCATAGCTCACTCAGCAGGATATGTAAACATAAATTGCAACGCCATGTGATACAAAGACCATACTATAATGAAACTATGAGCAACACTCAATGGAATCACATTAAAGTGATAAATGGAAAAGTTGGAAAAGAATTTAATAAGGAGGTTTTGAGTTGGAAATGTTAACATGGTTATGACATTTCCAGGCAGAGTGGAAACTGAAGAAACTGTTCCTGAAGTAACAGCTTTTTGAAGAAACTTATAAAATTATAATCAAATATTGTGTGTTTTAAAAATAACAGTAGGTTCAGTTTTGGTTGAGAAACAAGTGTGGTGTGAAATGACATTCAATAAGCCTATTGAAAAAGGTTGTGGTTGGCTTCTGAAAAGTCTTTTTCTTGTGCTAAGGAATTTGAAAGTTGTTTTGAAGAGCAATAAACATCATAACTCTACTCCATGGAAAACAGAAAGGAGTGAGAGTAAAATAAGGGTAAGAGAACCGTATATGAGTCTACTTAAAGATATCCTAGGTTACAGAGGTAAGGGCTGAACAATGGCAATATCTCTTCAAGAAACACTTCTTTTTTACTCTAATTGTTAGAACTCGAGGCAGTTTTGATATGCTGACGAAGAAGAGAGAGAAGGTGAGACTGACACTGATGATGAATGCTGTTGCAATTAGGCAAGACAGGAAAGACAAAATAAACGAAGTAATAATTAAAGTTTGGCATGTATTAAATGTGAGGTGACTGCAGTACAACAAAGAAGTGATGCCCAGTAGACAGTTTAATAAATCTGGTGCTCTGAAAAAAGTTAAAGATGTGGATAATAGATTTGGGAATCATTACACCATGTTAATATTTAATATCATGGACATTGCTAAAATTGTACAGGAAAACCATTTACAAAGGGAAAGAAGATAGCCTATAGTAAGAGAAAGAGTGGTGAAGATCTGGCTCCTCTGCTACTCCAGCTGGGTGACATGAGGCAATATTGCTTTATTTCCCTAGCACCACTGAGTTGAATCTGAGGCAATGTTGAAATGTTGTTTTGACATTACTTGTTTTGCAAATTCTTTAAGCAATAAGAAAACATTTTCTTGATATTTCCAGCTGCATAATTAATGATAGTTTATTTTAAGTGTCAGAAATTTAAAATTTATTTCAGAGTTCCTGAGAACATCTTGAAATTCTAGTTGACCTTTATGAAATGTTTATACTACAAATAAGAGTACTGCCCAAGACCAATAACGTATAAGCAGTTAATGTTTTAAAATAAACAAAACCATTCAGTTCCTGATGTTGTAATCCATGGAAAGGAAAATCACCTTTTCCTCATAAAAGAACAACCTGTTTAACAAGTGAAATTATCCTTCTTGTTCTCAGATGTTTATCTCCTGCATCACTGATTGATTGTTAGAGTCGCCAAGAAATTTCTAATCACACGATGCCTACCTGGATGAGTGATTTTAAAAAAAAAGTGTTCGGGGAGAAACAGACAGATAATGAAGGGCCAAGTGAATACTTATGATGTAACTGGATTTACAGAACCTTGTTTTTCCAATTCTGCAAACAAAGCTCAAAGATAGGATTTTATCCAAGGTTATTTAGCACCTTTTTATCCTTCCATTTGCCTAAGCATCCACCCCCAACCCTAAATAATATCACTCCACCCAAACAGACAGACAAATAAATAAACAGACAAATGTCAAATGGCGTCTTACCAAATGCTACCACCCATATGGTAGTTCAGACATCTTTAGTTCTACAACTCTCTCCATTTGTGTTTTTTTTTTTTTTTTTTGGTGAGGAAGGTTGTCCCTGAGCTAACATTGTGCCAATCTTCCTCTGCTTTGTATGTGGGAAGCCGCCACAGCATGGCCTAACAAGCAGTGTGCCAGTCGACCCCGAGGATTCCAACCTGCAAACCCTGGGCTGCCAAAGTGGAGTGTGTGAACCCAACCACTACATCACTAGGCTGGCCCCACTATAACTCTTTTCTTTACTATAGAAAATATTGAAAGCTTAAGGAGGGGTGGATGAGGTGGGGAAAGGATGTATAATAATGATAAAAACATAATGCAGTATTCATAGTTATGTAATTTATCACTGAAACCACCATCTCCCTGGAAATTTCTGTTACTATCCTTGAAGAAACATGGCCTTAGCAAAACATTTAGATTCCAACTAATGTTATCCACTCAACACAGAGATTTATTC